TGAATTGTTACTCAGCTAGACATTCGAAATCACTCATGGAACAACAACCGGAGACAACGCTCAGTAGCTGCAAGGGCAACAATCGCGACGCGGACAACAGCACCTGCAGCGAAAGACTGCCAAGGTTCAGAGCCTCGTGCGACTCTTGTACTCGATCCAAGCTTAGATGCGACGGAGGCAAGCCATCCTGCGGTCGGTGTTCCGACCGGGACGAGTCCTGTGTCTACAGTCGCATAGGACGTGTGGGACGGCCTCCCCGTCTACCGGCCTCACAGCCGGGCCAAGCCCAATCTCATTGCACCGCAAGAAATAAAGCAAGTAGGAGTCACCGCCGTGCCACGATCAATGAGTTTCCAACCACCAAAGACCTTACGAATACTACCCAAGGGCCTTCTGGTCATTCTAAGGGGCGGCCGAAAGATAATCTCAAGACCGCCTGCTCAGATGACATCCGATCCCAGGAATCAACCCATGAGAGTAACGAAAACGACTGTATATCGGTACAGACAACCCTATTTCTAGATCCATGGCTTTCGTCGCACGGTGATGAAGATTCTCCAAGCGGAATTCAACATCTCCTGACGCCAATATCGGACGATTCCATGGCAGCTATGACTTCAGTAAGCGGCAACTTTCAAAATACTAAGCCGACGGGAATACATGGCGATTACATACAAGAGGAAGGCCTAGACTTTGATCCTTTTGATCTTCGAGTGATTACGCCAAGCTCTGCACCGGCAGGCACGACCCGTTTCCAAGACGAAGACTTGAAAATGATGGACCTCGGATTTGACGACATCATGGATCCCGACTTCGACATCGACATCGATTTCATATCCAGTAATGAATGTCTCGCACCTCAGTCACAATCACCTTCGACACAGCAAGGGATATGGAAGGGCGACGCGATGTCGGAAACCCCAGTCATTGGTGACCTTGAAAACATATGGAACCAGATTATGTCAGGCACATCGAAGCTGCAGCGGGTTATTGGCTCTATTGCGCCAGCATTGTCTCGTCCATTTGGACCAGACAAGAAATGCTCTTGCCCAACCCTCATTGGCAGGCTCCAACTTCTGGCCATACACCCGCGATTGTCTCCCCAAAGACAGGCTGGACACCGTCGCTACGGCCACAATCGTCTTCGGCAATTGCCACTCGACTTACTAGTCTTTCTTGACGACGCCGTATACCAGACAGTTGTAACAGTTCGTTCATGCGGGGTGTGTGAAAACGCACCGAGGGCATTGCTTACACTTTGCCTCCACGTCGACTGGCTAGTCGATGTGCTGAAAGAGACGTTGGAGACGGGCCTACCTGGTCTTTCAACGCCGGCGTCAGTTTCAAGCACCCAGTCCCTAGTCCTGCCAGGAAAGCAAGGGACAGCATCTGGCATTGAAGAGCTCAGAGCTGACGGTGTGTCGGGACGGTCGAATGGAAAGGGCACTCTTGGAGGATATGGTGATCTGAACGACACACTTCCGTTGAGCCTGGGGTCTTTTCAACTAGAGGGAGAGCTCTGGAAAATATGCATTCGAGAGCTCTTGAAGGCCAGACTCAATCGTCTGTCGCTACTCTTAGAGGAGGTCTTTCATCATGAAGGAATCAGGGACCGCGTGAGGAACACGCTGAAAGATACGGGCTACGATGCCCGATCCCCGCTCGACAAGGCTGTGAGAAGCCTAGCAGGAGATATTTACTCCAAGATCGAGTTTCTCTTTGGCATGCTAGAGCTTTGGCAAACTTGCTAGAATACCCTATGCCATAGTTGAATTACATTAGCGAAGAACTAAACTGCAAGTTTGGATCAAGACTCTTCATGATATTCACAACACGAAGAATTCCTTCAGGAGTCAAGCTACACTGGGGACTTGATATTGTCCGTCAGTCTTTCATCGTGTGCTTAACGAGAAGGTTCAACAAGCAGTTCAGAACGGAAGAGTGGGCCGAGAAGTGACCTCCTTGCGTGGCACGATAGGCTCACGGAGAACGAAACGAGGGCGGCACCCCGCCCGCATGGTGGACCCTGAGCCAGGCATTCGGTGCGTGCAACATCTGCGACCCTGCAGCGGAGGCAGCATCCGGCGACAACAACCCTGTAGCTTAACGTACCGCACGTATATACCTATCCTGTTCGTAGACTCTCGTTAGATCTGCACAAAGCTGCAACAGGGACCTTATTGGTCAGGGTCCATGCAGCTGTGCGTGTCTCCTCTGCTCCCGGTCTATGATTTTTGGTCCAGTCAGTTAAGCGTGCTGGGGGGTTTACAAGGAGGGTCTTCTGCGAACCGAACGCGAGTCTGCGGTATCCCATCGGCTGCCACATGACGGCAAAAGATACGACTCGGTTATGACCCCAACTTTACCCCAAATGAAGAGAAAGTGAGTTTTGAAAAATGGGTTAAAAAGCATCCAGTGCCTTCCCGTATCATAATTGGCTCTACTCCGCATGGGAGGTTTCTGGCGTCGTGTGGCAGCCGGCGGGAACAACACTGTTTAGGCAGCCTCTAGTTGCCTGGTGTACGAAAGTTCAAACTCTCGCGCATAAAGGGTACCAAGAGACATTGCAACGGACAATACTGATAAGGTTTGGTGATGGAAAGACCATCAGTTCAATCGGATCACAAGAAAGTACCGAAATCACCGAGGAATCAGATTCATTCGGCGTATGCTTGCCAGGCGATCGACCATGACCCGACCGGACGAACTTTGTGATCTGGGCAATGCGGCCTTAAAATCCGATCTGATGTTGGGAACAGAGCAATGGTTAGAGTCTGTGCTGCCTATGAAAGGTGCAAAATGAAGAGAGGAAAACGAAGAGGAGTAGTCCGTAGTCTCGAAAGGTTTTGTGTCAGTGAACCGCTTAATAGATGGACAGTTTGGATGTCTGAGAACCTAGACGTGCCGGCAGTATCCAACAAAATTTAGTTTAGCAAGCTAGCAAGCGTACATGGGATATGCAGGAAGGATGAATCCTTCAAATGCATCCTGTCACATGGGCTGCATTCAAGGCGGGCTGTCATACGTACAAGCTAGAGCCTGCTCCACCAATCGATCAAATCTGGCGTATATCGTCGTTTGTCTGATATTTGATTCAAACCATAGTCTAGAAATTGCATGCATCCCGAACGAACATCAGACGTCAGTTTTCTTTCTTTTATCATCTATCTTCTACATCTTCAGGTAGTTCACCACATCACACACCCATAGAATGCCTTGCTAGTATAAGTGAGGCTTATTGAGGCGAGGTGAATAAGCTCACTGATCAAGAATCGAAGCTCAAATACCACGTTGTTTACTGAGAATGCTATGTCCTACTATCTGCTGCAGTAAAACAACTTTCACACGCGCGGACGAGCCGAAGCAGAAAAGCTGTTTGAAACCTCGCCTCAATACATGAACATCTCGTTTCCCGCCGAACAATCATCCTGGGATAGAAGGAGCGCCAGGAACAAAACCCCGACCATGAGTAACCTAGATCCGACCGAAGCTGATTTCCAAGCTGACAAATTAAAATAACGGCAGAGATCTTTTGGTGGGCAAAATTGCCTGCCCCACTTCTCTGAGATGTGAGTGCCGTGGATTTTATTCGCCGATACGAAGCAGCGCGGGAAATATACGCCATTTTCTCGGAACATAACGTTAAACAAGGAAGACAGAAACACGTTAGGATCCCTGGGAACATCAGCCCATGGGAGAACTTGGGCGACTGAATTAATCATGTAGCCTCTTCCAGAGAAAAATAGCGTTTTGGAAGCGGTGAAGTCTCTTCACATTTCAATAGCTGAACTGGCTTGAAACAGTTACATCGTTAGACCAACAACCATACAGCACACCAGAGCTTGACAGCACGGTATTATGGCCTCTACAATCTCTCTATCTGCGAAGCAGGGCACCATGAACTTGGCATGTCTTTCACCGATCGTTGGATCTGACTCCGACAGTGGCCTGGGAACGGACAGCAGCGCTGGACAGAGTCCGTTCCCCGAAAACACATTGGCTCCATGGTCGCCAAGCATAATTCATGATGAGCCAGTTGCAGTGGTTGGAATGGCGTGCCGCTTTTCCAAAGTCGAATCACCTTCCCAACTTTGGGATCTCGTCAAGTCAGGTCTTACAGGACGGACAAAGATTCCAGAGAGAAGTTGGAATGCAGAAGCCTGGTACCATCCATCTAGGCAGCGGACTGGGCAGGTAAGTCATTGTGTGATTTTGCCCCAGCAACCCCCTGGCGATGACTTTTGCCCCCTAAAACACCTAACTATTCGCAATGATCGCTCACTAGAGATATCCGCAGATCTGTACGACTTCAGGTCATTTTCTTGACGATATCTCAAGTTTCGATGCCCCATTCTTCTCAATCTCGGCCGATGAGGCCGCATCCATGGATCCAATGCAGCGTCTTGGTCTTGAAATTGGCTACGAGGCATTTGAAAATGGTTAGCCACCCATGCCATGCAAGCCCGGGGAAGGCCATCAAGAATGACATATAGATATAATCTTGGTCATTATGGCTAACTTCTACAGCCGGAATTCCGATGGAAAAGTTGGCACGAAGCACTACAGGAGTTTATAGTGGCGTGATGACCAATGACTACCAGATGTTGGCAGAAGGGGACCCGTCTTCCTTAGGGACCAACTCTGCAGCTGGCACTGGACGGTCGATGCTATCAAACCGCATATCGTGGTTTTTTGATTTACGCGGACCTAGTCTCACGATTGACACTGCATGCTCGTCAACCTTGTACGCACTGCACTTGGCTTGTCAGTCCATCAAAACGGGAGAATGCCATCAGGTGGGTGCATTTCCTTTTTCCCATTACGAACATAGCTGCAGATAACAGTCCAGCGCTAAAGGTCTATAGGCATTAGTGACGGGGCATAATCTTATTTTGAATCCGACTTTCTTTTCCCAACTTTCTGCAATGCACATGGTTAGCCCAGACGGAATCAGCCACTCATTTGACTCCTCAGCAAACGGATATGGACGTGGAGAAGGCATGGCTGGTGTTGTAGTCAAGCGGCTTTCCACTGCAATTGCTGACGGCGATGTTATTCGGGCCGTGATCCGGGCCACGGGAGTTAACTCTGACGGCAAGACTCCTGGGATTACTGTCCCAAGTGAAGAAGCCCAAGCCGACCTGATCAGGGAAGTATACGAGAGATCAGGACTGGACATGGCTCAAACCTCCTATTTCGAAGGTAGAATAACCGTAACGGCCTTGTAAACCTTGTGAACATTTGCTGATACTCTCCCAGCGCATGGAACTGGCACACCAAAGGGGGTATGTAAATGATGCATTTTGGTACCCATTTGAGCGGAAGAATCAGGGATACCCTCGACTGACGCTCGCCTGGTAGGATCCTATCGAAATTCGTGCAATAGGTTTAACCATCGGTGCTGCTCGACGGGCTTCTGGAATGGGGCGGTTGGATGTTGGTAGTGTGAAGCCGAACATTGGCCACACTGAAGGCTGCGCTGGCTTGGCAGGCTTGATCAAAACCGTTCTTTGCCTCGAAGCTGGACTTATACCGCCAATCGCGGGTCTGCAACAAATCAATCCCGAGATAGCTGCCGAAAACCATCTAATCAACTTTCCAATGGCAACAAAATCGTGGCCCGGCAGTGGTCTCAGACGAGCAAGCGTCAACTCCTTTGGTTTTGGCGGCGCCAATGCCCACCTTGTACTGGATGATGCAAGATCGTACTTGAAGGAGATGCGAATCAAGGGAAGACACATCACAAAAAAGGCCGGATATCGCAATCAAGATTCAACCGATCAGTCATTCGACACATCGGAAAACATGAGGCAGCTTCTATTCGCGATATCGTCGTTCGATCGGCAGGGTCTTGCGCGCACTGCTCAATCTCTGGGAGAGTTTTTGAGTCAAAAGAAGCCTGTCCAGTTCGAATCACTCGCGCACACCTTGAACGTTCGACGGACATCACATCTATTCCGGAGTTTTGTCACTGCCAAGAGTCAAGAGGAGCTGGTCTCTAAGCTTCTGTCAGTGAACAAGGAGAAAGCGCAGCCTCTCAAAATCAGGTCGTCACGGAGCCGACGGCTAGTCTTTCTGTTCACTGGCCAAGGCGCACAACGCCCAGGAATGGCAAAAGAGCTCGTCAGGGAGTGCCCCACCTTCAGAAACAGTATTGCAACCAGCCAAACGTACTTGTCAAACTTGGGATGCAGGTGGGATTTGATCGACTTGTTAAAGAATGGCGACGCGGAAACCATAAGCGACCCAGAGTTCTCGCAACCTATGTGCACAGCAGTGCAAATTGCGCTTGTACATGTCCTTTGGTACTGGGGAGTCACAGCTGCAGCAGTTATTGGTCATTCTTCCGGTGAGATGGTAGCCGCATATGCTGCCGGCGCCGTGTCTCACGAGGAAGCTATGCGTGTTGCATACTACCGCGGGTTGTTATCAACCCAGGTCAGCCGCCGCCTCGGGAGACCAGGAGGAATGCTGGCGGTGGGTCTATCTGAGAAGAGCTGTCGAGAGTTCCTGCAACGCCACGATTTCGCAAACACTGTCACTGTTGCCTGTATCAACAGCCCGAAGGGTGTAACTCTTTCCGGAGACGCCCAATCGATCTCGCGAGTTGAGGCTAGTCTGAAGGACGCCGGTCACTTTGCGCGCTTGTTACGAACAGGCGGAGTGGCATATCATTCTCCCGACATGCAGATCGTTGGCGAAGACTTTTTGAAAGCTCTTGGCCCATTGAAGCTACGTCACAGGCCTCTAAGTGTGGCAATGTTCTCTTCGGTGACGGAGAGTCTGATATTGGATGCGGCAGAGCTCAATGCCAATTACTGGTACACAAACATGACTTCATCCGTGCGCTTTTCCGGGGCGTTGCACAATCTTTTATTGCATGAAGGTCAAGATGGTCTGTCACCAAGCATACACAACACCACGGTCCTCGAAATTGGTCCTTCCAAAACACTTGCGGGGCCTGTTGGTCAAATAATGGCTGCTGCTTTCGATTCTAAGATTACAACGGGTCTTTCATATTTGTCAATACTTTCGGCTGGGGAAGACTCAAGGGATACGTCACTAGCCGCGGCTGGAATGCTGTGGGCTATGGGTCAAGCTGTGGATTTGGACAAGGTCAATAACCTGTCCTCCCGTTGCGACAAGCTGAAGCTGAACGAGCTTCCAATATTGCCGTCCTATCCCTGGAATCATTCAAGATCTTACTGGCATAAGACGTCTCCAAACTCCACAGCTCTGGGTGCGTTAACTGTACCTCGGGCAGACCTCCTTGGTGTTCCTACCGCACCACAGAATCCTTTTGAACCGTCATGGCAAAATGTTCTTCGCCAGAATGAGCTACCTTGGCTTGAGGACCACGCAGTCATGGGTGCCGTCCTATTTCCAGCTGCTGGTTACTTGGTAATTGCTATGGAAGCACTTCGCACTCTCGCTCGCAAGAAGAATTATCCGTTATACGGCGTTGAGCTCTTGGATGTCCAGTTTGAGACAGGCCTGACCCTGGACGATCATGAGAGTGCTTTGGAGAGCACAAATCGTGGGCAAGGCATCAGATTGACCTTGAAACCACGTGCTATGGATGAGTGGGAATATGACTTCACCATATACGCCACTTCAAGCTCCCCCGAGGAATGGCGACGACTTGTGAGAGGCACCGTTGTGGGTATAAGAAACACGAATGTCCTACGTCAGAAAGAAGACGATTTCGAAACTTCATCGAGAGAAGCGGAGTGGCGCAGTGTCAAACGTCCTCAGCTCCTGGAAGTTCAGAGGTCATCAATTGACGTTGTTGATCCGGCAAACTTTTATACAAATCTCTCAGCGATTGGATTGAAGTATGGCCCGACTTTCCAAGGACTCAATGTGATCCGCTGTACGCCCGCAACGACAGCTTGTAGGGTTGGTAAAGCCTACGGCGAGCTTATGATTCCAGACACTCAGTCTACAATGCCTGGGGCCTATGAGTGTGAATATTTGATTCACCCTGCAACCCTCGACGGCATCTTTCAGTTGGTCTTTGCCGCGCTCAAGGCCATTTGTCCTGGGGGGATGAAAGACGCTGCTGTGCCCGTATCGCTTCGGAGAGCCTTCATTGCGTCATCAATGCCGAGAAGTGTCCACTCAAAGCTGATCGGTGTGGCCGACGCGGAGTATGACGGCGATGCGAAAGCAAGTCAATCAGCACCACGAGAAATCATTGGGAGCCTGGTGTTCTCCGACGGCACTTTAGAGGAGCCCGCAGTCATGATCGATGGCATCGTACTCCGCGAGTTACCGGTCGGTTCGGGATACGAGGCTGTCATGGACAGCAAGAGTGACGCTCGCGAAAACAGAATTGAGCGCACGGCCCAGTTCCTCTGGAAAGAGGATATTGATCAGGACTTCGACCTGTGGAAAGATTTGATATTGTCGAAAACAACCAGGTTGGATCGGTGCTCCTTCTTCTTGGATCGATTTTACCACAAACGACCGAATGCCAACGCCGTATGCATTGGCAGCACGGAGCTGCATGAACGACTTCTTCAACCCGCAGTCAATTATTCTGGAACTAGACGGACACATCCTCTCAATCGCTGCACTTTGGTCACATCCCTAGAGAAATGGAGCGCAGTCATCGGAGTTTCCAGCTCATCAACTCTAGAGAACCCTACGACCGAGAAGTTTGATCTTATCCTGTTAGACGAGAACATGCTGGCGGAGGAAGACCTACACGACGACCCACAGAGAAGTTCAGACTGGTTCTTTAAAACCCTGAGTAAGGGTTGTGCTGCTGGTGCTTGGTTCGTCTTGCTCGGAGGCGACGAGAAGTCAGTTCTTCCAATGTCTCAGATCATGTCGGGGGTGGGGACTCGCTCAAAAATCAAAGGCATTCGCATATCCGAGGCGTCTGTGGATATATATTGTATTGGAGATGAGCCGGTTTCCATTCGTCCACGCATCAAAGCACTGCAAGAACAAGCACTTCAGGCTGATGACGTCGTCAAAGAAGGCTTCCGACACACCGATATCATCATTCTAGAGCAAGATTATAGCCGGAACACAAGGGCAGCATGCAACATTACAGCACCGCTGTTGAACCGACTGGCATCAATGGGGTTCCGCATCTCTCGTGCAACTCTAAGGCAAGCAATAGCACTCCGCGACCAGTTCAAAGACAAGATGATTATCTCGTTGTTAGAGCTGGGACAGCCGTTCGTTTATGATTGGGGTCATCAGGACTTCGCAGACTTCCAACAATTGGTAGACTCGGCGTCACACATTCTCTGGCTTACAACAGGTGGTCTCCTGTGCCCGTACTCAGAAAGAAGCCTTCTTTATTCGCCAACCGTGGGGCTGCTAAGAGCGCTCAGAGCTGAGTACCCACAGTTGGTGTTGGTCCATTTGGATGTGTCAGAAGCCACATGTTCTGACACACCAGAAGCCATAGTGGAAGTCATCTCAGAGACGTTACGTTTGAGTAGAGTGAGAGAAGAAACCTCCTACAGCCTGGAAACCCACTTCGAAATCTACGAGTCTGAGTACATCGAACAGAGTGGCTGTCTCCTCATACCTAGGGTCATGGCACACGCAGAAGCCGATAACTACGTTTTATCGGAGACATCGAGCCAGGATGGAAATCCTCTCCTTCCAACCTTCCGGGGATCATTCAATCACCTGGAATCAGTGCGGCTTCAAAGTCCACATCTCTGGTCGCAGACGATTGCTGAGTCTCGGCTAGGGTACTGGGTTCTTCCGGAACGTGCCACTGAGAATACGAAAGAAAATAGTCCATTGATGGGCTTGCAAAAAAGAACCTCGGCAATAATCAGGGCGTCCCATTTCACTGTCAAACCTGGCACCTGCCCCAGACTGCAAATGGAGAATGGCTTTGAAGTCCCCATGGCGTTTCACACGCTGGGCGTCATCACGGGCTTGAACGAAGTTCATTCAAGTCGAACAGACTATCGCACTGGTGACTGGGTGCTGAACACTACCCCTCAACCAATCCAGCCTGAATCGATGCATGACGTCAGAAAGCTGGTAAAGCTGCCCAAGTCTGTTGCAAAGGCACCCGCAGCTGCTGCTTACTGGCTGGGACCGATTTCCACGGCATATCACGTTCTCTCAGTGATAGGAAGCGTCTCACAGGGTGACTATGTTGTCATAGACGTGGGAGAAAGCCAGGCGCTTGAACGGGCTTTCGCCATGGTAGCACATCACCTTCGTGCCAGAAAAGCACTTATAATCGGAAGAGGAAGACTCACAGAGCAAGTCGACAAAGATGCTCATTCAGATGGGCCGGAGGACGTCATTATTTCACGGATTTCTTGCCTTAACCGAGCTACGATTAGGTACTTGCAGTCTCTCGCGAATGGAGTGAAGGCTGTGGTCTCTACCACCAGAACGAAGGAGACCCTCGACATGTTGATAAGCACCTTGTCTTCCGATGGCTGTCTCATCCAACTTGACCCAAGAGAGCAGGAAGACTGCCTAGACAATCGATGCCCCAAAAGCTCTCAAATTTTCAAATTCGATCTCCAATTATGGGATCATTCTGCCTCAGAAGAGTATAGAATGGCTATCTCTAGAGTTTCGACTTGGGTTGAGACCGGCACCCTCACGCTGCCCGACGCATTGAGACAAGCATCAACCAGCAACGCTAATGACCTTGCAATGCTTTTCGAGTCTACCACACACGGTACAGAACAAGAAGGTGCCAAGATTGCCGTCTCGTTAGGACATTCAGATGAGGTTCTGATGCACAGGAAGATGCCAGCATCACCACCTGGAAAAGTCGACAATGCAACGATGCTGGATAGTAACGCAACCTATATTATTTCAGGTGGGCTTGGGTCTCTGGGGCTGCACATGGCCAACATGCTTTTTGAATTGGGGGCAAGACATTTGATGCTTCTCTCTAGGTCTGGAAAAGCGAATTCATCTGACATATTGGCTGCACTGATGAACCTGGAGAGAAACGGTTGCAATGTCGACGTTGTTGCATGCGACATCACCTCTATGGAGGACATGAAACGACTGGGATCGAAATTCAGCGAAGAGTCAAGACCACGCCTCAAAGGAATTATCCAGTCTGCAATGGTCCTCGCAGACAGCACGTTTGCGAATATGACATTTGAGAACTGGCAGAAAGCTACAGCTCCCAAAGTCCAGGGAAGCTGGAATCTCCACAACCTTCAGCGTTTTATGACCGAAGGAAGTTCTTCATCCGAAAATGACGTTGAGGACCTGGACTTCTTCATCTTGCTCTCGTCTGTCTCGGGCGTCATCGGGAACAGCGCTCAGGGAAACTACTGCGCCGGAAACACATTTGAAGACGTCCTCGCTCACCACCGCCGTGCCAATGGAATGGCTGCAGTAAGTCTCAATATAGGGCTTGTTTCGGACTCTAATCACTTTGGAACGGGAACTATGTCATCTTTCAAAAACATCGACGAATATCTACGCGTTTTTGGACACCTGGCTCCTGTTGTGGTCAGCACTGCTGAGGTGCTAGCAAGCGTCAAGATGGCCATTGCTGCATCTAATAAGCAGAATACGGCGTTGACGTCTTGTCCGCTCCAGATTCCCCCACAATTGGTAGTAGGAATATCGTCCCGAATCAGGCGATCGAGAGAGCTTTTAAACTATTGGTCTTTGGATCGTAAATTCGACCATCGAGCTGCATGGGGAGACGATGCGGGGTGGGAAGGTGATCTGGCCCCGAAAGCGAGCTTGCTAAGAGCCAACGAGGCCCTTCCTTTGGCACAGGACTTGAGCTCGGGTAGGCTTGTGGTAGAGGACCTTTTGAAAGCAAAACTTGCTCAAGCTATGACGCTAGATGTTGAAGGAGTGGACGAGGAGAAGAGTTTGGGATCTTATGGGAGTAAGTTCCATCCGAGGCGCCAGCTCCCTCCACTAGCGATCTTTACCACTGCTAACAATTATCACAGTCGATTCTCTGAAGGCAACGGAGATGAGGAATTGGATCAACCGGGAATTCCATGTCGATCTTTCTATTTTCGAGATCCTCGCACCAACTCCAATTGCAAAGCTTGCAATGAGGATTCTTAAAGCATGCGACTTAGTAAACCATGATGCACTGGGATCATAAGGAGGAAAGCTGGCCTGTATGTCATTGTGCCTTTTTTTGGTTAGGTTTCCTTTCTCCTCTGCTTCTCGCTTCTTTTCTGGATCGGCAGGCAAGTATTCTTCATGGATGACTGCAGGGCGCTCGTTCGTTGAGGGGTCTATTGGAACATTACCAAGCCGGTAGCGTACCTAGTGAGTACCTTGACGGACATTTAAAGAAGACATCTTGATCTCATACATTTCAAGTGGCATGACATCCCCTCGTGATATATTGACATCTATCACTAGTTGTGCTGTAGTAAACAGCTCAGTTGCGGAATAGTCGATTGCTATTTAGAATACCTCAGCGGCATAGTCTTGCTATCACACAGTCTTCCACTAGTGGTTTCCATTCCGTGTGATTTGGTGCCCATCCCATATTCCTCAGTCTATCAGCTCGACATTGCGCACTAACGCCCCAAAGTCCCGGGAGTTCAGGCATAAGCTCGGCAAACTGGGGATATTGAAGTGACTCGCACTCCATGCCTCTGGAAATTCCATTATCTGCCCCATTCACGGCAGATTGAGCCGATTGAATAGTGCCCCCCGCGTGACGTGCTAAATCTCCCATCTCGAGTTGCCCTGCCTCGACGAAGAAGTATCCACCCAGGCTTTGTCTCGACTCATCTCTTTTCCATCGATCGACAATGAAATAAACAGCCGACGCCAGGTCTTGAGGAGATCCCCAGCTCCAAGTGTTGCGCCCATTTCCCATCATAAATGGATATCTGTCTTGACGACATAGGACAGCATCAACGTAGTTGTGCACGAAACCCCTCGTTCGCACTGGCCCTGTTCCATTTCCCACGGCGAACGGAAGACCCATAATCACTGCAGTGATATCTCCTCCGCCCTCTGCGGCGACAAGTTGAAGAAAAGCTCGTTCTTGTGCCACGTGCCAATGGTGAGTAGGGAGTGCCATAATTGTGTCGAGATCCGCGACATCGCTCATTGATCTTCCATTGGGAGGCTCTCCGAGTCGAAGATTCTTAGGATCTGCCAGAGAGATGATAGCACTTAGCATGATGAAGAGGGTTGGGCGCCGACCCACATCATGCTGCTCATCATGTCCATCTCCAGCCTTTGTCGCGGCAAGACCGGCTAGAAGAGATTTGACGCCCTCCTGGGTGTTTCGTGCAGCGTATATAATAATGTCTGACACCGTTGCAGCGTCATAGAGAAGCTTCTCATTACTCAGGTCGCCGAGTAGTGTATGGACTTCCGGATATGAACTTGTAATGGTTTCGACAGCTGAAGGCGATCGCACAAGTGCAGAGACCCGAAGGGTGGCAGCGTTTGATACAGACCTCAGGTGAGAAAGAATCGAGCCACCTATGTAACCGGACGCACCGATAAGGAGGATTCTGACGGGGACTGGCTGGGCAGGCATCACGAGTATTTTTCCCTGGCTATTGCTGTGGCTGTGGCTGTGACGGGTTAGAGACCAGTCTTTCTTTCAAGGCGTGGATTACAACTTGAAAGGAAACGGTGAATCTTACTTAAGATCCTGCAATAATTACATTAGGCTCAGACAGCCTCCACGAGACATCTACCTGTACGAGTTTGTTTGATGAGTCCATCACGGGCGCTTTCGGGTAATTGATTCTCATTGAAACATATAATGTAGTAGCTTATACATGTATTACATCGCGGCATTATTTTGTCGGTAAACAGTGCAAACGGTGTAAAGTTCAGGCGAATTTCCGCCGCGGTGACACCGCAAATGCCCGAGCTCACCAGAGGTCTATCGGGTAATTGTCGTGACAAAATTCGCTTCGAGGCTATTGATCCGAAAAACGACCGACGGTGCTCCTTGACTTTCGACCCAGATGGCGCGGACGTAACAGTTGTGTCCAACTAATTGGATATGTTACGGTTCAAGGAGCCTTTGTCATGAAACTCCAGCAATAACGGTTTTGGCATGTCAATTCGAACATCGCAACTCACTTTAGTTCCGGACCCCAATCAAGACCGCCACCACGCAAACCCACACACGCTAATGTCTACACCAATGCCTAGCAGTATCTCAGCTGCTCTGAGGCAAACTGGACATGTTCAGTTGGGCCACATCGACTACCAGGCAACACTGAAGATTGTTGCCTTACTCATTGTTATCTACTGGTGCCTTGTATGGATCTACCGCATCACTCTCCACCCCCTGGCTCATTACCCGGGCCCGAAGCTCTGGGCAACCACTTGTCTTGTGCAGACATTCTACGCTTTGCGTGGGGAGTTTGCATTCAAGGTCGCAGATTTACATACCAAGTATGGCCCCGTCGTTCGTCTGGGGCCGTCTGCGGTATCTTACATTGATGAAAAAGCCTGGGAGGATATCCATGGTCGACACGATGGGCGGAAACAATTGAAAAAGGCCAAGGAATTCGTGCCGACAAGCCCTCCGAACGGAGCCCAAGGGCTGGTATTTGTCAAGGATGACAATGCTCATGGACGGCTGAGGCGAAACTTTTCACACGGATTCTCCGACAAGGCTCTGCGTGACCAAGAGGATATCATAGGAGGATATTTCGAAAAGCTTGTCGCAAGAATTCGGCGGTCAAGTGATGATCACGAGCCAATCAATATGATGAGGTGGTATCAACTTACCACATTCGATATTGTTGGAGATCTCACGTATGGCGAAGATATCGGCTGCATGAACGATGATGCGCACGACCTTCACGTAAGTCAAGTTCCACGGTTTCTGGTGGAATGCTTACTTATTAACGACAGAAATGGATTGAGAATTTGTATTATATTGTGAAAGCTATGTTCCTTCTCGGATTCATGCGAGATTTCTTCCGTCTTGACAAGCTGTTGCTCATCGTCATGACTTCTGATAAACTGCCGTTGAAGAAGAACAAACATCGACTTATGCTCATCGAAAAGCTGAACCGTCGGCTGGAGCGGAAAGAACCACGCAGCGATTTCATGGAGCATGTCATTCGCAACCTCAATACCCCGACGGGCATCACCTATGATGAGATGCTCATGACATCGTCCAATCTCCTCATGGCGGGTGCCGAGACAACAGCAATGACATTATCCGGTGCAACGTATCTACTTTGCAAGAATAAGCATGCGCTTGAAACTGTCACTGCAGAGGTCCGAGAAGCATTTGGGGCCGATCCAGCAAGGATCGCAATGACCACCACTACTGATCGTCACCTCCCTTACCTCCATGGCGTTATCGAAGAAACCCTTCGTTTGTTTCCCCCAGTTCCAACAACACTCCCACGCGCCACTCCGCCTGAAGGTCATTTCATCTGCGGGAATTTCGTTCCAGGGAATACGCAGGTATTCGTAAATCAACTGGCGGCATATCGGTGGCCGGAGCATTTCGCAGAATCTGTATCATTCAGGCCAGAGAGGTGGAATGTCCAAAACAAGGAACCAAAGTACGAGCATGATGCAAAGGGCGTTTTTAAGCCGTTCTCCACTGGACCACGGAACTGCATAGGGAGACATTTGGCGTATGCTGAAGTTCGTACACTGCTCGCTAAGATTCTTGTGGAGTTTGATTTGGAACTGATGTCAGAGAGTATTGATTGGATGCAAAGTTTGAAGATTTACGGTGTTTGGGAGAAACGACCACTAATGATACGGTTCAAGCCTGTGACTCATAGGCCGTTAAAATGACGTTGGGCAAGAAAACAATCAGATTCATGCATATTAAGCAACTCGAGTTCCTCTGATAGATGATAAATAATAAATTGCACGTAAGGCTTGCTAGCGACGAGGGCTGTGGTCCAGAAAGCAGAAACTTGCATATTTTTGATGCGGCTAGGGAGTGCAGCGCTTGCGTTGCTAATGCTATCGAGTCTCTCAAATCCGCAATCTGAGCTGGAACAATAAACAGTTCACCTCATGACACGATGGTGTTTGTGGTAAAATTAAACGAGCGACGCAAACCTGTTTGTGAATGAACGTTGACGCGCGACATAGAGTAATATGAGTCTAAACGGCGCTACTTGATTAACACGGTACTGCCTATTGAAGGCTTCATCAATCCGATCATCGCTCATCCTTCACATCCAACATTGAAGTGACACTGTTTAGGCTTGTGTTTGCAATTTCGAGCTATTCTCTACCGAATGGACTATTCAAACCTGGGATAAAACAACTTTGCAGAGATCTCTGACACTCTCGCCGTTCAAGATACTCAAGACAGGCACAGTCACCTCCAACTCCTTAAAAAACCACGCTCTTAGATCAACGGCAACCAGTGAATCAATGCCAAGATCCATCAGGGGTACATCTGCGCGCAGTGACGAGCTTGAAAGCTGCATTGTGTCTTGTATCTGCGCAGAGAAGCAGCTGCTCAAGGTCGCCAGTCGCTCCTCGTCAGTGGTCGTTTTCGATAATTTCTCGCGTACATTCTTGGCCATGTCGGAGGTGCCGCCCGCAGACCCACCCGCGGCCCGATCATCAAATTTCTGACCCGCCCGGGCTGTGAAATGCCCGAACCTAGGATCTTTGTGCCATGCTGCCGATACAGGAGGCTGATCGATTGCGACAGCAGTTTCGGACCCGAGACCAACAATCACGTCACCAGTAGCGGATGCGTTTGGTGGCCCTCTCAAAATGGCCTCATGGAAGGCATCCAAGACATCTCCTTCTCCGATGGCTAGAGTGTTGAATCCACGTAGGTTCGCGTGAACTGTCTGCAGGCTTGATGCTCCTGCATTAGCGAAATAGCCAACGCCGAAAACTGTTGAGAGATCGACAGTCGATGCAGCTAACCCTCTAGCGCGGCGACCGGCGACAACAGCGCGTCCATACATATTGCCAGCGCAGTAGTTGGACTGGCCTCTGATTCCAACGATCGCGGACATGCTGGACATGAAGATGAAAAAGTCCAAGTCGGTCTCGTGGTAGTATTGCTCAACCAAGTAAGTTCCTCTGACCTTTGGGGCCATTGTTGCCTGAAGTGTCTGGAACGACATGTTTTCTAACAAAGTGTCGTTGAGAACCATGGCCCCGAAAACGACTCCAGCCACAGGGTACATAGAGTCTCGAATGCGATCACAAACGTCTTTAACTGAGTGGGCGTCGGTGACATCCATAGAGAAAGAACGCACGTCGGTTGCTCCCAGACTCTCCATTTCTTCAAGCCACACTTTTGGAATATTGGGCGCTCGACTTGCAAGTGCCACAGATCGCGCACCGTTCTGAATCATCCACTTCGCAACCGACAACCCTAGATCGCTTGTGATTCCAGCAAAGAGGTACGTTTTCTTGGGACTGAAAAGACATGCTGGATTGGGAAGAAGCGCACTACTGAGTTGGCCCGTAGGACTTTCGTCTCCTCCAGCCAGAGACCAGTCCAAAATTTGCGGATCTTTGGCCAGTAGGTAGATGGTCGCGTCGGAAACTGCCACGCGCTTTGGCGCTTTCAACTGACAGATGTCGTCCGATGAAGTCTGCAGATGAAGCTGCACAATTCGGGAGGCCAAGGATATACTCTGGTCAACGATGGAACATGGTTGATCAGAATTCATATGCGTCCACATTGTACCAATTGCAGGTTTTGACTTCAGCCGGGGCAAATTGTCGTCGACGGGTTGTGCTTCTAAAATTTCGAACCATCCATTCGGAAGGAGAAAGTGAGGTTTATCTGAGTTGACTCCGGAAGCGACATCTGGGTCTCGGATGGATGTCCAATCGACATAGATACCGGATGTATGTCTGCGGAGCTGGGACCTCAGTCGTTGAGTTGAAACACATGGGTGAATGTAAGACGCGATTCCACAACGTCCGGGTAGTACCCTTGCCATTTTTTCCCGTGCGGTAACCACGTACAGCCTCATGTCATGTTCCTGAGCAAGTTCTGAAATTGCAACCTCGAAAGCGTAATTGGGCTCGACGATCATTATCGCTGCTGAACCAGGGAATGCCTCCACCGCCAGTCGGCACAACGTGCGTGCCGCGATGGTGTGTCTTAGAACCGACAGAAACACGACGTCTTGATCGATTAGTGTGAAGGGTTCAAGGCCTTCATATCGAAGAGGAATTTTCAAAGCACATTCCGAGCTGTGAAGGTGTTTTTTCGGACGCCTAGGGGTAAGGATGATGGATTTCTCTGGTTCGCCGAGTGCCGTTACGTCAGGTTGACCTAGGGAGACATAGAATTGATCATCTCCCGTCGAATAAAACTGAACACAGCGTGAATGTGTCAGAGAAAGACGATAACTTGAACTGGCTGCTGGAAAGCATTCGCGTTCTGTGGATAAAGGCGGTGTCAATTGAGCCAGAGAACCATCAGACTCAGGAACAGGGCGGGAGCTTGAAACTGCATCTGGTTGGTATGTGAGAAAGTTTTCGACTGCGCCTAGCACTGTGAGACACGAGTTGTTGGGCTCTTCATCATGTACGATCCCATCCCGACGGACAAGGTAACGCTGATTGGATATGTCAAGTGGCACCAGGCGTGGCAGAAGCAGACGACCACATTCGATTGCCATTTCAAACTCTGCAGAGTTCGTCCAAGTGACATTTTTTGAGTCGACATCGGATGCATCCTTCGACGACAAGAACCCCGCTTGCCAGACAATTCTGGAGATAAGCTGGATTGCATCAGAAGAGGTGCAGTCATCCACGTCAATGAAGCGAAGCCTGAGACCCGGGTTCTCGTATCTGGCGCAGCGGCCGAGCCCAACAATCATGTTTTGATTGGGATCCCGCCCATGCACACGCCCACTGGTAACCCAGAAGATATCGTGAGAGGTGCCGCTGAAAACAATTTTCAAGGCCTCCCAGTCAGCGGACGTAGGGCTACCTAGCAACGGGCTCTCGATGTCCGAGAGGACGATAACCATGCTGCTGGGAAGTAGCGAGCTGGCAGCAGCCGTTTGTAGCCCGTCTACAATCGTGACTGTAACGCGATCACCGCACACGCCGAGGATTCTTGTCTTTAACTCAAGAGCCATGCCATGGCTGATGGCGTTTTCTTCCTTGCCTTTGACAATGACAAGACTATTCGCAGAGAATTCGGTGGTTGATGTTGGAACGCACTCTCGGAATGCCATCCAGTCTTCGTCCGTTGCTCGAGCCACCATTACACTGGATAGATGGTCTTCCGGGTGTTCCATATCTCGGAATATGTGCTCTGTACCAGTCTGGAAACCGGAGGCTTGGAGTACCTCGTGCCACTTTCCCGTCGTCAACAAGGGACTGAATGTGTCCTTTCGCCACCGGTCTTCAAAATACCACCAGCCCGGAACCGCGCCCATTAGATACGGTACGAGGACTTTGTCGACTGATGTGACTTCAAGTAGCAGAAGAAAGCCACCTGGCTTCAAGAGCTTCCGCACATTCTTCAGTGATGCTTCAATGTCCCTTGTAGCATGCAGAACATTTGAGGCAACGATTATGTCATACGTGGCCGGCGTCAATGCTTGATCCACAACGTCCGTCTCGATATCCAGAGTTTTGAATATCATCCGGCGAACCTCGTCTGCGAACTTGATCTTGGCTTGAGGAAAGAAACCGCTGGATATATCGGTGAACGTGTATGAGCCGTATGCGCCCCCAAGCCCCGTAAACATAGCCTGAGTGGCACCTCCGGTTCCGGCTCCAACCTGAGAGTCTCCGTCAGTATGACCGCCAGAAACATTTTGAATGATTCATACATGCCTCGAGAATGTCACATCGTGGAAAACGATGGGCAATGAGACTTGCCACTCGACCGAGATACCGGTTGGCCCGCGCGTACATAGCTGGCTCGACGTATAAACGTGCAAGCATGTCATTTCGGAATAGTACTTCCAGAATTGTCGGACCATCTTCTTGCCGCATGACTCTCAGTATGTTTGCGGCAACTGCTTCGAGTATCTGGACTTCAACGCGATGTTTGATTCGGTCAACCCGGCGCATGAGGGAAGAGCGGCGCGCTGGATCACTTGCCCACGGGTTGACATAGTTAGAATGGGGGCCGCCACCAGGACCTTCGAGACGGTGATGAAGCCACTCCCAGAATCGTCGGATGAACCAGGGCGTCCTCGTCTCATCGAATGCCTCAGCCATAGTGAAACTTTCGTAGACATTGCACATATAGTAATGTGCCAATTCTTCGACAGTTTCAAGGCCCTCAAGATCTCCAAGGGTGTCTGACTCCAGTTGAAAATCTCGTAAGGCGTCGTCTGGGTCAGGGGCCCATATTTCTTCGCAAAAGATGCCTTCCTGATACGAACCATGTGAAGGGACTAGGTTGACACACCGAAGATCCTCTACCTGGAATATCATGCGATATTGATGTTGATTATTGCCCGGCCGTGGATCGACGCCGGGTGGGGGATCGAAAGCCAAACCTTCAACGGTCGCAGTCCAAGATGCGAGCGTGTTTCCTTCTGACACTCGTCTCAACTCCTCACGAATGCTGCGCCCTTTAATTGTAGCATCGAATAGGAATTCAGATTCAGTGTCCATGAACGCACGGTACGCTGAGAGTTGAACCCGTAATCGGCCGATAGTTCGAGGAAGATACGGTGCCAACAGTCTTCCATCCCCGGGCGAAGCAAATGCCGCCAGTGATGTTTGAAATGCATCGTCGAGGGCGGCCACTGGGAAGCATGAGCTGGCCTCTTTTGTTTCCGGTGTATGTTCCCCCATTGCTTCTCCAATGTTTTGATCATGAGGCCTGGCATTTGTGAGCGTGACATTCGCGTGCCGGACAGTGGACTTCGCTCGACCCAAGCATCGCCGCAAGGAATCCACTTGGAATGGAGCAGTATACTCAAGACCAACAACCTTATACGAGTCATATATCGAAGTTGTTGATATGGTGTGGAGATGGACAGGGTCGTCATGATACGGCGGCATGCCGCTGGTGAAAACAGATGACGATGGGAGTCGTAAATTTGCCACGAGATGGCCGTGGCAGGCAACGTAAGGCTCATTTAATCGAGCAGGCTCTCCAACGGCGGGAAGTTGGGCTTGAATCGAGAACGAAGCATGTATGGTTGAACTGTGTTTTAGCACAGTAGTTTTGGTCTGACTGGCATCCTTGATTCCATCCAGCACAATGTCGTGTAGCCGTATCAGGATCTCAATACCCTCTGTGTTCTTTTCGGAAAGCATCACAGCTCGTCCGAATTCCACATCTTGGAGCTCGATAACATCCAGCTCCAGGTCAGAGCTGGTTTGCGTCGATGATTCCTGACACAAGATTTTGATAAGGTCGCTGGTGGCATCCATGGCCATAACACAGTACCCAGCGGCTGGGAATACTATCTGGCCTTGCACTTTGTGCCCACGAAGCCACGGAATCTCATTGACGCGAATTATCTGGCGCCATCGCCACTCTCCCAATCTCACCGATTCCGCGGACTTCCGGACAGCTCCGGTGTACGAACCGTCATACCGTAACCCCTGATCAATACAGTGACCAATGAGTGGAGATGACGGCTCCCGACGGAGAAGCTGTGACAGGCGAGCCGACTCGCGCCAATAAACGCGATCATGTAGCCATGCCATGGTTGGCAAGCCAGCAAGTGGAACTTGGCTTTTGTTGCTTGAGACGGACGTCGCGTCAAAGTCGATATCGATTCCCCTCTCCCACAGAAAGCCATAGACGCTGGACAAGCTATCCCGTTCATCCACGCCGCGGGCGAGAGTACCGCGATAGGCCAACTCTCCATTGGAAACGGTCAAGGTATCTACTACCTGTCGTCGAAGCGCTGGATGAGGGCCAACCTCCAAACCTGCCCGGACTTTCTTCAACTTTGCAAGCCTTTCCAGGGCGTCCCGAAAACGAACCGGAGCTAGCATATTCTCCACCCAGTACTGGGCCGAGTTCAATGACTGGGGAAGATTGTGCAGGTTGGCGTTCGAGATCGGCTCCCAATCCGTATGCACGCTAGATATCCAGACACAAGTTGGTCTGCTAGACGTTGGCTGCGGCCCATCAAGCCGACATCTCGAGAGTGCCTCCCGATAGGCATCACCAGAAACTCTCATGTGAGGTGAGTGGTAGGCTTTGTCAACCCTTAGCATCTGAACTGGAACATTGCGATCCCTGAGCAAGGTCTGCATCTCTCTCAGCTTGTGTAAGTCGCCACTGAGTGTGACACTCCTCGGAGCGTTGTTGGCTGCGACACAGACATGGTCGCGGAACCCGAGCTGGCTGTCGGAGCAAAGAATTTGAGCATCATCCCATGAGATGCCAGCTGCAAGCATACCGCCTTTCCCTCCTTGGTCTCCATCAGTATCATGTGGACTGCGAGCGAGTTTGGAAAAACGTCCTCGGTAATACGCCATTCGAATGGCATCGGCTGCTGATATGCAACCAACAGTGTAGGCTGCTGCAAGCTCACCCGAGCTGTGACCGATAACAGCCGAGAAGTTGACGCCTACGGATCGTAGAGTATCGACCAGTGCAACCTGTACTGCAGTAGACAAAGGCTGCGCAAATTCAGCCTCAGCAATGCGAGATTCGCCGATTGGAGCTCGAAGCTCCGTACTGAGAGACCATTTGCTACTGCCAGAGAGTTCTTCCTCAACAGCCATGGTGTCTAACAATGCATGTTCCAGTCGGGCAATAGATTGCGCGAAGGCCGGGCATGCATCGAGAAGCTTGGCCCCCATCGTAGCCCATTGGGCACCCTGGCCTGTAAACACGCCCAGAATTTCCGGGCCTTCAGAGCCAGAGTTCCATGTTGTGGAAGAAACCCCGATGTGACTCCCATCGTGGTATGCCTTGACAGACGTACGCATCTGTTTCACCAGAATCGACCGCGAGCTGCCAGTGAACGATATCCCATATTCCAGGCGAGTCCGGCGCTTCTGAGTAGTCCAAGCAAGGCTGTCGAGGTTCACATCGGGATGAGCTTCAAGATAGTCGGCATACCTTGATACAAGAGATGCAAGGCTGGGCTCTTTCGCAGCAGAAATGACGATATTCACTGGTGGTTGTTTTGGGGTCTTCGGTGCTTTGTGAACAGTGCCCTTTGACGCAATCGAATCGAATGACTCCAAGATTGCATGTGCATTTGTACCGCCGAACCCAAAAGAGTTTACAGAAGCACGACGTGGAATCTGTATGGCAGGATCTGTAGACTTTACAGGTTCTGGCCACGGTAAGTGTTCTGTTGGCACCAGGAGCTTCCCCGGGCCGAGCACTGGCGCAATCTTAGGATTCGGTGTTCCCAGGTGGAGATTCGACGGGATGAACCCCTGGTGAAGCCCAAGGCATGCCTTGATAACCCCCGCGAGTCCTGCACAGCCTTCAAGGTGGCCTACAACGGTCTTCACTGAACCGACGTAGAGCTGTTCAGGGGGCGCGGATTGATTTGTTGGGGGGGTAAAGAAGGCGTCCCAGATGGCTTGAGCTTCTATCGGGTCACCAGCTGGCGTTCCCGTCCCATGAGCTTCAAAGAATTGGCATCGGTCTTCCGCTTTTCGCAGATCAAGCCCCGCTTTGGCATATGTCTCTCGTATTAAGTCGGTTTGCGCTGTGGAACTGGGCATTGTGATTCCAGTTGTACGTCCATCCTGGTTGACGCCAGTTTCACGCACAACAGCATAAATGCGATCTCCGTCATGCAAAGCTTGTGGCACTGTCTTGAGGATAACACAGGCGACACCCTCCCCGCGTGAGTACCCATCGGCCGCCGATGACCACATCTGGCATTTGCCAGTCGGAGAAAGCACTGCAAATTGGTAATTAGATTGGCCATCAAACATCCAAAGATGAAAAGGCGTGAGTCCGACCTACTGTTTAAGTTGCTCGTCATCACGTACATATCAGGAGCTAGCAACAAATTTGTTCCTGCCGCAACAGCCATACTCGCCTCGCCAGACCGCAGCGCGTGGACGGCGTGGTGGAGAGCAACGAGTGACGAGGAACAGGCAGTATCAATGGTTTCGCTTGGGCCGTGCCAGTTGAAAAAGTAAGAAAGGCGATTACTCGCAATACTTCGAGCTCCCCCAGTCACAAGATAACGTGGAGCGCCATCGATGTCGCGAAGCTGCAAATCCTGCCAATCGGTTGACATAAGACCTACGTACGCAGCAGTCGAACTTCCTGAAGTTGCTTGGAGGGGTATTCCAGCGTCTTCTAAACCCTCATAGACTACTTCAAGCAACAAGCGATGCTATGCTTAGATTAGCTCAAGTACCCTCAAGGTCTGTGAAGAACACATCTCCGAATCAAGATTGTTACATGCCTGGGGGTCCATAGCCTCAGCTTCTCGGGGTCCGATGTTGAAGAATGCCGCATCGAAAGTTTGGATATCCTGGTCATCGAGGAAATACGAGCGTTGAGTATTAGTCGTGCCATGATGTGCGGCATCCTCGTGGTAGAATCCGGACGCGCTGAACCGGGATGGAGGAATAGGCGCCGAGAGATCAACCGGTTCGCTCAGCAAATCCCATAGCTGGGAGGGACTCGACACATTCCCAGGCAAGCGACATCCAATACCGACGATGGCAATGCTATCCTGGCGCTTGTCTCCATTCATATCATGAACAGGAAATTGTGAGCCATCATGCATCTTGTTGGTTTGGTGCTCACTAGTACCACTCATTGAATGTGGAGTAAACATGTTGACTGAAAGGGTGGATGGTTGTAATGGAAAACAGTAAGAGCGGTACACTGTCACTTAGGATTATTTTTCTCAGGATGATATTCACTCAGACTTAACTGGCAACAAGATTGAGCCTAACCCAAGTATTCTTGATAATGATACGTCTGGTCCTTTCGTAGTTGGCAAAGAAAGCACGTGGTCGCTGAATAAACAGGCGTTGCGATTATCACCCGGTGCACATTTGAGGTGGGGACTCGAAAGACGCGGGTCATTTCGACGCACGCCAATAAGCCACCGCAGAAATCGGAACCTTTCCCCCGCCCCCACCAAGGGTGACAGGCACCTGGGAATGGGCAATTGCAACTGAATCAACGAGACCTTTGTCACATCACTATGAAATCAGCTTTCCTGGCTATGATTGGGTTGTAATCGTTCTGAACCTGAGATAACACAGGTCAACACAAGATCAAGACAGCAATCTCATCATTATGATTACCCACGCCCTGAAAACTTTGGCGCTGTTATTCTTTGGGAGCCTAGTCTTGTACGCAGGATGTCTAAGCTTCTACAACATCCTTCTCCATCCCCTCAAAGGTATTCCAGGACCCTTCGCCGCAAAGGTTAGCCGGCTTTGGCTTTTCTATTGGGATTACTCTGGGAATCCCCACCACCATATCCGGGACTTACATGCAAAGTTCGGTGAGATCACGGTCCTCCAGACATGTTCAAGCTATGAGAGAGTGTTCTGTCTGACATGATGCAGGCCCTCTTGTCCGCATCTCGCCCAATGAGGTCTCCATCGACGACGTCAAAGCAAACAATATAATATATTCCCAGACGAATCCATGGCTAAAGCCACACTACCATTATAAAGCATTCCAAAGTTCCAAAGCGTACAGCATTTTCACAGAACTGGATCCCGAAGTTCACGCTGCGCATCTTCGTCTAATAGCTCCAGCCTTTTCGCACGCTCGGATCACAGGCGTCGATGCTCAAAATATGCTTTGGGAAAAATGCTGTCTAATGATTGAAGCAATAAATCGCAACATGGGGCAAATCAATTCGAACGACGAGAAGCCCAAGCACCTCCAAACCGCTGAGGTATGCTTGACAAAGATGTTCCGCAGTTTGTCACTGGACGTGGTGACGGAGTGGACATTTGGTCAATGTGCCAATAGCCTAAAAAGCTTCCATTCAGACTTGTTTGAAGTCTTCGATGTGGCAGCGGAAAGTGTGATATTCGTAAGAAAATATTTCCGCTAGCTTCTTGGCTGATTACGGGAAGACCTCGGTTGCTAATGGTAATGGACTCAAAGTTTCAGCACATTCCCTTTTTACGGCGTCTCATACCATACATAGCGCCTTGGGTACCTAAACTGGTTCCGAACAAGCTGCTTGGTCAAGTAAGGCTCGCTTTCCATCTGATTCATGTACTTCAGAACCGTCATGCGTCTAGACGATGCTTCTCAATGTCTCGGCGATGGTGATGCTGATGGTATGAAGTATGCGCAGCAGGCTCTCGAAGCCACAAGGAGAAGAAGGACTGAGGCAACCGACTCAAATGTCGACGGCTCTGTTTTCAGCAACCTTGCATCAGAGGCATGGCAGCAAAAGCGGGGGTTTAAGCCCTCAGATGGCCAGATCATTTCTGATGGCATTGTCATCCTTGCAGCTGGTGAGATTTCCATCTTGAATTGAATGAAAAACATTTGGAAAATGATCAACATTATCTGTAATAGTTCACCGAGACTGTCCGAATTTACATAGACTAACCAGAACCAATGCTGACGAAATAGGCGCCGACACCACCGCTGCAGCTTTGTCCGTCGGAATTCATCATCTCGCCAGGCGTGCTGATCTTTGGGTTGAACTACAGGACGAACTAAAACCTGTGATGACGATGTGTGACGGCTGTCCTCGAATTGAAAGTCTTGCCCAACTACCACTCCTCAATGCGGTGTTGAAGGAAGGCTTGCGAATCTCTTGTCCGATTCGTGGTCACATGCCTCGAATCGTGCCCAAGGGTGGGTGGACGTACCGTGACACATGGTTCCCGGCAGGGGTAAGCGAATAAGGGCAGTCCCAACGATGGGCCTCGCTGACCTTGCGAAATCACAAACAGTCAGTCGTTGCCACTTCCGCGTATTACGGATGCTACAACCAGACTGTGTTTCCGAATCCTGAGCGCTACGATCCATCGCGTTGGCTAATTGCAAGCGACACCAGCGAGATGGAAGCCCATCTTCAGCCGTTCTCAAGAGGAACTAGGCAATGCATAGGGCAAAAGTATGATAAGACATGTGATACACCATATCTCCGTTGACTCTTCTGACTCAAATTTAGCTTAACCCTTGCAACACAACGCCTCGCAATCGCTACCATTGTTCACAACTTCCGCCCAACAGCTATTCGAGACGGAATGATTAGAACACGGGAATACGTCACTCTCTTGGTAGATTCTCCACTAACTGTTGAACTTTCTCCCCGGTAGAGCGCTTGAGGTGCATAAATGTTTCCATGTCTGCTCTGAAGTGTTTTACGGTTTTCGGGTAGTTTTGAGTAGTCCAGAAAAAGATTTGAGCTCTTCTGTGAGTGAAGTAATAATCCATCAAAATCCCACAATTCATTATGTTTCGCAGTGCGTTGTTTTAGCTGGCTTGTACGACTGTGGTAAGCGATCGGCTAGAAATGAGCTATCAGTCTGAGGGCTGCGTTCTCTTCTCGCATGACACAGGCGTTTCGGTTGTTTCATTTGGCGACGTTGTTGGATGACTCCCATCCAACACCAAAATTATAAGCCATCGGGCCATTTTAATACATATCGGGCTGTTGTGTCGCACGACACTACGCTGGCTGTGCGTTCTAGATTCAGCCCGATGTGATGGACTTTTAGCCCAATGGGAGTTTGAGACGACGAGGAGAGTGAACTAAATACTGGCCGCAACCAGAACATAAAAGTATGTCCATGCGATAGACACGAGAAGTTGGCGCTGTTTAGGTATGGCGATACGCCCAACACATGGAAAGAAGAAAAAAACCAGCCGACAAATACACTATGCCATCCCGGATACGTATTCTCTGCCTCCACGGTGACGGTACCAATGCCACGATCTTCGCGGCACAGACACGTCATTTACGCCGCGCACTCGATCTTCAGGGCATTGACTTGGTTTACGTGACCGGTCCATTCGAATGTCCACCGGGATACGGTGTTTCGCCGTTCTTCGACGACTGTGGACCTTTCTACCGTTGGAGTCCAGACTTCTACGAACAAGACGATGTGAGCCAGTGCTGCGATGTTGACGAAAGACTCGACCGTGGCCGGGGTGTCATCGACGCTCTTGATGACCTGCGGTACGAATTTGGCGATGTTGATTCAAACATCGACGGAGGCGGTAAAAACACCTTTGCTGGCATTCTCGGATTCTCTTCTTCAGCCGGTGTGGTCGCTGGAATTCTTGCCGCACAGGAAAATGAGCAAAAGGCAACTCCAGTATGGCTGCACTTCAAGTTTGGCATCCTTATTAACGGAACTGGGATGCCTTTGCCGCTCTCAGAGGTGTCCAAGATTCCTCATGCAGCTTCCATCACGACGCCCACCGTAGCGGTGGTTGGAACAAACGACCGATGGCAAGCAGAAAGCAGGCGGTTGATTGGATGCTTTGGGAATGATTCAATCACCTTGTTTGAGTTCAACAACGAACACAAGGTTCCGGCGGAGGAAGCACAAGTTGAACAGATTTCCACAGCAATCTGCAAGTTGGCGCGTGTAACAGCATCGCTGTAATATGCCTCATGCCGAATGTATAACATCTACTTGACTCATAGACACCATGTAGCTTGCTCCAATAGAGTCCTATACATCATATGCAAGATAGATCATATTCATGGTGCCAGCCGAATCAAAATATTTCCTTCCAGATTTGCGATCTTGTGTACACCAGCTTCAATATTGACTGGGCGTTGCGTACCGTCTTGGAGTCTGACTTCGTATCTCTGGATGAAACGAGCCAGGATAACCTTCATTGTCCACAAAGCAATGTATCGACCGGGGCATGAAGCTTTGCCACGTCCGAAGTCCAGTCCTGGCCCCGAGATTGACTCAAATGCCAACGATGAAGACGGCGCGTCTGGTTTATCTAAGAAACGAAAGGGTTTGAACTCAGTGGCGTCAGATCCGTATATGTTGGGATCATGGTTGAGCGCATACGATGGCATTGCCACTGTAACTCCACGAGGAATAGTAAGTCCATCTGACAACTTAACTTCAACTAGGGCCTTGCGAGCCATGACCACTGTATTATTAAGGTGTGATTAGCTCATAACAGACTTCGTATTGGCAGAAAGTCTCTGCAAATTAGGAGGGTGAATCCTCGGACTTACCCAGCGTTCCTGGGCTCAATCGAAGAACTTCCTTCATGAAGCTGTCTACTTTGCGTAGCATTCCTATGTTTTGGAGTGACAACGTGGCGCCGTTGGAGAGCATCGTTCGTATTTCCTCACGAAGCGGCTTTTGATATTCTGGGTAGGTTGCAAGGTCGTAGATACATTGCATCAACTGCAAATTTTCACAAGGTCAGTAGTCAATTACTGCTTGACTCGTTGTTAATAATTGCAGTAGCCTTACCGCGTTGACTATCTGATCTGGAAGCAGCACACCATATCAGTTTGCAAATTCGTCACCGCTTTGTCAAATATTGGATGAACGGGAAAACGTACTATCACCAGCAAAAACATTGTCGAAGATCTGACCTGTCTGAAAGTTGATATCGACTCCTCGCCACCCAGCGGAGTGATTCAACTGATATTCAATCATATCATGGTGCCGGTCGTCGTGCATATTCCTGCAGGATAATCGTCTCCGGACAAGAGGGTCAATTCGAGACGCTAGCTCTCTTCTAGCTGTCATGAGCGAACGATAAGTCGGTAGAAACTGTTTCGCCAGAGGCCGCAAACAATGAGGAATTGTGCGTAGATCACGAGCCGCCAACATCATTTTGAGGCCTAAGCCGTTGGCATGGTCAAGCCAGCCTGGATCCCGGCACAATGGTGCGTCAACCAAAACACGGCCGAATGCCTGATTGACAAGAGGCCGAAACGATGGGTTGATTTCAACTGAAATCCACCCATCATGAAGTTGTTTCCTTGTTTCCAGAGTTTTGTTGATTGCTTGGAACCCCCGCTGTTCCCAGTTGTCCATTGCTAGGCTGATCTCTTCATCCAACACAGGGATAATGTGCGCACCGTCTCGTTTCAGGCTCCCCATCAGCGTCTGCCGGCCTGTGTCGTCGTCTAGATAGTACCGCCATGTTGTGTGTCTTGACACCCAGAAGTCATGAATTGCGGCTCCAAAGCTGAGCTTATTGCTTGGTTGCGCTGCCAGATCATTGGCGTAGGATGCTGGCAGCAGAACGAGGTCTGACTTTGGCCCGACGATTTTGTAAGGGCCTTGGGGGTTCTTAAAGTAGCCTTTCGATAAAAGTCGTCCAAAGTCGTAAAGGGCAGTATCTGGTGGTGAAGCCAACGGGACATCCATTGTTGGACGTTGGCCAATTCGCCATAGAAACTTGACAATCGATAAAGCGGCCAAAGTACCAGCTAGAAAAGCAGCCACTGCAGCCCCAGAACTTGACAAAATCCCCGCAGTCCGCAACACACCCACAATCTTGCTGCTAACAGCATCATTCGGTACCGAAATGTTGGTGCTTTGTAAAGTGTTCATATTTGGTATGGGCGATCTGTGTCGTGAGATGGGTCACAGTGAGTACAATTCGGGAGGTCCAATGCAGAGATTAACTGCACAAAGCACAATAGGGGATCATTCATGTCGTTCAAATCTCAAACCCCGTAACCTTCTTGAATATCCCCGTAACATACAGTTCGGGTGAAATCAATTGATTCATTCAGCTTATGGGATCTTCAAAACGGCCCGAGGGGTGCATGGTGGATACACCCAGTAATGCGAGGAACACCCCAAACCTTAGTCTCTTAGTCATTGTTTGATTCTCCAATTTTAGCTTTCATACTGACTCTGAGTTTCCATATTTGCGATAACCGTGTCATAGTAGCTTCGGCACTGGCGAGTAATTGACGGCTGATCGCCGTCGGAAGGAACACCAATGAATCACGGCATGAAGCCTGGCGTAATCAGAGGTCAGAACTTCTCCGTACATCACAGTGCTACGTCTGATCAACATTGATCTCGGAGGGTCTGTGGTGAAGGTGGGCGGCGATTTCAAGACGCACATGCGTGGAGTCTCACGTCCTCAACGTTTTGCGCTCCAATCACGACTTTAAGCATCGGCCAATGGACTGCACCCCTAAACATCATTTGCTTTTTCGGAATCTCGCGTGCAACATGATCTGACAGCTATGTGCTGCACCCAGCTCGAAGTCTCGTTTTGCGCCATTTAAGTGTACCTATCATGCGGCCGTCTGGCCAGACCTGTCCTCAATGAGAAGGTGTGAGTGCATGCCAACGCATCGTACGACGTATCTGATCCACGGCGTACGCAATACCACATACATTCTTCCAAAACGGTGGCGATATGATGCAGTCTCGTGCTGGCTTGCGCAGAGTCTGCATACATTATTTCTTAGCAAGTGGACTCATGAATCAAATATCGAAGCTGATTACCAAGAGGCCACTTGGGGGTCGGCGGAAGAGATTGGTTATATCAGCAGGTGCACTGGATTGCATCCCGGAACTATTCAAGGTACAACTTTCTTTCTTTCAATTCATTGATATCGAACAAGAACGATCATGGCATCCAGAACTCCCACGATATGCTTGCTGTCGTACCTTTTGCAGATACTGGGCATTGCCTTCAGAATGGGCAAGAACATCTCTGGTTGCTTGGATTTTGCTTGGTACGTTGGCAGGGTGATAACCACAATGGTTTTTCTCTGTGTCCGTCAAGTGGCCATGCAGTCTCTCAGTGTTGCGACTGCTGGACTACACATCCTATCACGTCTCGGAAACAATACATGGACTTTACTACAACTTCCCGGACATTTCTTGCAGCCCATCACCGACATATCATCTGGCACGCTGACGGTGAGAGATAATCGCACAGATCTCCAGTATCTGATTCCCATCACTCAGAACGCTATCGATGTGGTGGATGTTGGGCGCATTGTTGACCCTTCTCATCAGAGCCAGTCTGGTTTGCGGGTTTTTGACCCTGGGTATCTCAACACGGCCTGCATCAAGTCAAATATCACCTTCATCGATGGTCAGCGGGGCTACATCCAATACCGCCAGTTTTCCATTGAGTATCTTTTTGAGAACCATGACTATGAGGAAGTAATTTACCTACTTATCTGGGGGAAGTTACCCGACAAACCAGAGAAAGAGCATTTTCAACGGAAGCTTGCAGCAAGCTGCGTTCCGCCGGAACATGTGGTTCAGACCATTGCCTCTTTCTCCAGAGATTCGTCAACCAGCACGATGATGATTGCTGGCATTGCGGCTTATGCAAGCCAGGATGAAGGGGCCATCAGCATAATGGGTTCTGCTAGGCCGGCTTACTTAGGACGTGCGGGCCAGGTTGACGCGGCCATTATTAGATGCATGTCAGCGCTAGCTACCGTCGTTGCACTCGTTTATTGTCACAAACGAGGCAAAGACCTAACGCCAGCTCACCCGAGCGACTCCTTCGTTGCGAATGTCGTACGCATGATGGGGTTCCGAGCCAACGAAGCAGTGCTCTGCCTGACGTGGGGATCCAGAGGTGCTTAGAAAAGCTATGGATTCTCTACGCCGACCACGAAATGACCAACTCAACAGCCGCATTCTTGCACGCGGCTTCGACTTTAACGGACCCTTTATCATGTTGCATTTCGGCAATTGTTTCCGGATATGGACCACTGCACGGCGGCGCCATCGATCTGGCATACAAGACGTTCGAAAAGATCAAAACACCCAACGAGGTGTACAGTCTCATCACGGCCGTGAAAACGAACAAGCAACGTCTCTATGGATATGGGCATCGCATATACAAAACCGTCGACCCCCGCGTGAAGCTCATCCACCGGATGATCGACCAGCACAGGGATAAGGTAGAGTCGAATCCAATGCTGGCCGTCGCATTGGAGATCGACCGGGTCGCAAACGATGACGAGTACTTTACCAGCCGCAACCTCAAAGCAAACGCCGACTTGTACGGGTGCTTCCTGTATACTGCCATGGGCTTTGAGACCGATATTATTGTCGCCATGGCTAGTCTCTCACGTGCGGCAGGTGTACTAGCGCACTGGCGGGAGGCAATGCTGGAGAGAGGCCCCGCACTTTGGCGGCCCAAACAAATTTTCACAGGCAAAGTGTTGTCGCCGACCGTGAAGACTTAGAATGACAGCAAAACAGGTGACACACCAAATGTGGGCCTTTCTCAAGTTCCGCAGTAACAGGCCCTCGGCATGTGTGGAAACAATTTAAAAATATCGCAAAATCATCGACTGTCTTTGGAAAATGCTCTGCAGTACGGTCAAGGTAGCGCAGGTAACAACGTGTGGACTAAGCGTGATCCAACCCATTCCTTGCGCAAGCGAATGGGGCATGTCGGGGATTCACTGATTGCTTCCCCGCCATTCCCCTCTTATCTTTTTGCGAGATGTGACATACGGCACTGGGGCGACGGAATTCTTGATGTTCTAGGGTCGGGGCGCAACCCGGGGTTCCGTATGGACCCTTGTCCTCTCCGGCGTTCCACAGTCCGAGGTAAGGCCAGAGAACAGGCATGCGATAAGACCCCACCATGAGCACAAGATGAGCAATGCTTGCCAGACTCCCCAAAATACATCAATTTATGTTTGCTGTGGAAGATAGAGAGCATCGATTTGAGTGTTGCATAGGAGAAATGAGGCCGCCCGTTAACAGTCGTGTTCCCGTCTTTTGGGTGTTATGCGGTCATTTAACCTCGTTGGAACTCTGGGCCTAGGATCTCCTCGTCACTCTGATTGTCCCCACTCACAGGCTTTGAGCCCACGGAGGAAGGTCTCGAAAAACGACCGCCACGCCCAGTCTTTCGTTCCGCCTTTGTGATGGAGCCGACCCCATCCGACCCCTCGTCCCTGCCCAGTCCAGGTCGCATACTTGTCCCACCGAATGTTCTCAAACCGTATGAGCCGCCGTGACTGCGTTCATGGTATTGACCGGTATCTGACGAGGTCAATCTGTCCAAGTACTGCTTGTAAAGCGGCCGGCAGACGGGTATGCCGATGCAGATCATTGTGACTGCTATCTCAGCAGCTGACCAAACAATAAGGCCCACGGTGTCCTCTGCAACCCTTTAGTAGCTGCTGCAGCGCGGTAGCGAAGGGAGGTGGCAAGGAGAATCTACTCAGGTAGTCGGAACTTAAAAGTGCAGGCACTTCGATCGTTCGCTTGATTCCACATGCGCCGGCGCTGAAGCATGATTAGACAAGGCGTCTTACAGGAATGGTTCTCTCACAATACTCCAAGGCTAAGACTAGCCAAAATGACAATCTTTTCGCGTGTGTTCATCTGCAAACCCCATATGAAGCTCCACGGGAATACCGCATAAAAGAAGTCGACGACGACGCATAGGACTGAATATCGTCAACAAGCCGCTCCGAAAGAACGTTTGCCCCAGTAAGACTTACTACAAAGGAGCATTGAAACTGGTGTTGAGTCAATCTGACAGTATCCTCCGGGTATCCGACGGTCCCATAAATACCGCGGTGGTGTACACTGCAACCAGAAAACGAAGCAAGTTGAGATGGATGCACCCATGAGAAGGCCCATCGATATCCAAATTGCGATCTTGTGCCATACTTTGTTTACTAAGCGGAGAAGAAACAGGCCCAACGACCACTTTGCGATAGCCATGCCGACGACAGCAAACGTTTGTCCTATCGCTTCGAAAAGAATCGCATCAACAATGCTGTCGGGATCAGATATGTCGTCTATACTTTGACCAAAGCCATAAGTTGCTGATATGGTTGTGAATATGGTGTAGAATACGAGAAGCGCCTGTAACGCATGTCAGCACGAATGGGCAAGATTCGGACGTAAAGGCAACATACAAAAGCGAGGTTGTAAACATGGTCGTCTACCCCGTAAGCCTCGACAATTACCACTCGTGTGTACGTGCGTAGAATCACGAAGGCCAACGTCAATGCAGTCAAAGACCACATAGTTGCAATAGCCCAAGGACCGGAACCCCCCAACGGCATTTTTGTCACGCTTGACCGGGTTTCTACGAGAAGAGTAGTCGTCGATTTCTTCGTGGCTACTGAGCGCTGATTGGGAGAGGGTTGGTATTGGAGACGTCAAAGAATATTTGGATATGATCGAGAGAGGTAGAAACATTGCGACATCCGCTGTGGGCGAGCCTCCAAATAAAGTCTTGTCGAAGTCATCCGTCGCCAGGATTATGTCAGACCAGTTTCGCTTTCAAGTGGCAGTGAAGGGAAGCGGATTTGATGAACCGTTAGCAGGCATGTTTCGAGACTGAATGAGTCTTGACGGTCCCTCAGAGCTCGGCGAGATGATCGCCATAGCCTCCTCTAATTACCCAAAGCGCGATGCTAGTCTTCTCGGACTTGATCCATACCGTTGCGTTTGCCTAAAACATAGCAGTGGCTCCTGCTAATTGACAGGCATTCGAAAAACCCCGGGCTGACTTGCTCGCCATCTCTAGGGGGTGGGGGTTCAGCCAATTACACAACTTTCATTGTCGAATACCAACGAACGGTAAGATTCCAAGTACGAGATGCCGCCCTAGCCCGCAAGCACAGCGAATAATAATTGATCTTTCAGCTGCTGATCTTGCAGTGAAACTCTTCGAATGCCCAACGTGCATGCAAAAATATGGAGATCTTGGACTTGCGTTACCGAATTAAGTATATATATTGCAGTTTGCTTGCAACTGCAGTTAAACGGTTTACCAGTCTACCCCTACGAGATAGTAGTTAGCTAGGCCCAGGCCTAAGGCCTAAATCCCAGCCTAAATCCCACCTTTACGTAAGGGATTAGCTATACTACTTTATAACTAGCTACACCTAGCGCTTATAGCTAGATTAATTAAACTACTTTATATAAGTTATAAGTCCTCTAAATACTTAAATCTATTTACTAAAATATAAGGTTATTCCTAAGTAGCTATTAGGATTTTAATTTTATAGTTTAGTAATTATTAAAAAGTAATTAATAGATTACTAAATTACTAGAAGTAATATTTCTAAGTAGAGATTATAACTATTATAATATATATCCTCTACTTATAAAATCTCTTTAATTTTTAAACTACTAAAATTAATAATTATTTAATATTTATTATAGTTATATAGTAATAACTATTTAATAACTATTTAATAATTATATATAATTACTACTTAAACCTCTCTTAAACTATTAAATTAATTAAATAAATTAATATATCTATAATTAGTAATTTAATTTTATTTTCTTTTAGCTCTACTAAAAGAGGATTATTTTAATCTAACTCTCTCTTTTCTTTTATAATAAACTTTATAGCTAAAGTAGCTATATAAAAAGTAGCTAATAAGAGATTAAATCTAAAAAGTTTAGTATATAATACTATTTTTAAACTAACTAAAGCTATAAACTTTAAGTTATAAGAAATTAATCTTAAGAATACTTTTAAAATAATAAAATTACTCTTTTACTTAATAAATAAAGGAATACTAAATAGATATAATAGAGATATAGTTTTTAAAAAAAATAAAATAGTAATAATTAAAGATCTAAGCTCTTTAAATAATTTAATACTTATAAGTTTTATATTTACTAAATAATTATTTATAAAAAAGATCTAATATAATCTTTTAGAAGAAATAATTAATAATAATCTTTTTATTATAGTTTTAGCTTTTTATATTTTTATTAAAACTAAAGAATATATTTAGAAGTTTAATAAGTTAGTTATAAATAAAATCTATAATAACTAGAATAGAATAACTAAAGTTAACTATAGTAATACTAAGGATTTTATATAAGATCTTTACTTAATTTTTAATAAATTAAATAGTTTTAATATAAGCTTATTAACTATAGCTCTTACTTATAGATTTATCTAAAGTTTTAGATATTTTAATTAAATTAAAATAAACTTTATAAAGAATAACTTTATTATAAGGATTTAAAGTTATAATAATTTCTTATAAAAGCTCTAAAGTTTAAATAAAAAAGAATAATATAAGTAAGCTTCTTAAAGTATTAAAGCTCTATTAAATAAGAAGAAGTTTATTATAAAGAAATAAACTTAAATACCTAAGTCTAAAAATATTAAGGTATAAGATCCTTATATTTTATATAATATTAAATATCTTAAAAACTTTTATAAATATAAAATATATAGCTATTATTATAGAAAGATAACTTTATACTCTAATAAGTATAATAAATACTCCTTTAAGTATTATAAATATTATATTTTATTATATAATAAGTTTAAATATATTAATAAACTATAAACTTAGTAATTAATAACTTAAATATTTACTTTAATATTTACTTTAGAAAGTTAAACCTAAAATAATATCTTTAGAAACTTTAGTATTAAATAAGATATTAATTAATAATCTAAAGTTTATATAGATACCTTAATAGCTTAAACTTAAAAGAGAACTTTTCTATTATTCCTAATAAATAAATTTAAAGTATTTAGTTTATACTTTAACTTTTAATTTCTTACTAAAGATCTATATAAAGTTAACTATATATAGAGAGTTAAGAAGTAACTAATAAAGAAGTTTAAACTTTCTATCTATAGATCTATTAGCTAAACTATTAAAATAGAGATTAATAGTTTTTTTATATATAATACTATTAAAGAAGCTAATAAAGAAGAAAATAATAGTTAAGAAGTATAATTAAGCTAATATATTATATTTATAGTTTCTATTAAGAGAATAAACTTCTTTATACTAAATATTAATATTAATAAATATATCTTTAATAATCTCTCTATTTTTAAGGACTTTTAAGATCTCTTTTAAAGATTAACTATAAACTATATAAATAGAAAGGATTGAATTAGCTAAGTTATTAGTATAGCTAAAGTAATTACTATTAAGCTAAGTAGTAAAAAGATTACTTTCTAACTATATAGTACTTTTTATAAACTTTATAATATAATATAAATTATTAGTATTAATCTTTTTTAGAAAATAAGTATTTATTTTAATAGTTTAGATAATACTTTAGTTTATAAAAATATATCTAAAGTTATTAATAATTTTAAATAAAATATATAAGTTTTTTAGTTTTAGATCTATCCTTCTAATTAGAGTAATAAATTTAGCTCTCTTAAGCTAAATTACTAAACTTTTTATATTTATCTAAAATATCTATTTAGAGAAGTAATTATTATTACTATAAGAGATATTAATATAAACCTCTTTAGAGTACTTCTTATAAAATATAAGTATTATATTTACTTTATAGTAGAATTAATATAGTAACTTAGTAATAAATAATAAAAACTACTAACTTAAGCTTTTTAAAAGCTTTAGATTAACTTCTTAGAATTAATACTATAAAGCTTTAGAGGTATTACTTATAATCTCTATATTATAGAAGCTTTTTTAATTTATAAATAGTTCTAAATATTTAAATTAAAGAAAGAAGTAGCTATTTAGCTATAAAACTAATTTCTAAAGAAGATTATAATAATAAATAGTATTATTTATTTTTCTAAGGTTATTATAAATAATAATATAGTTCTTTTTAAAATAATAGAACTTTTTACTTAAGAATAAGGTTTCTATTTAGAGATAGTAGCTTTTTATTCTTATTAGTAAAATAGAGGAGTAGAAAACTTTAGTAAAGCTATATAGTAAAAAGTATAAGTAATATATATAGAAGTAACTTTCTTAAGTCTTTTTAGTTCTAATTAATAAAGACTTCTATAAAAGTTAGAAATCTATTATTTAATAATAAAAGTAATATTAATCTTTATAAAAAACTAATAAATACTCTTAATATATTTCTTATTATAAGAAAACTATATATATATTACCTCTACTACTAAAGCTACTAAACTTATATCTATATTTACTTAAATAGCTATTTATATATAAAAGAGTAAAAGATAAAACTTAGAACTAAACTTAGAAGATTTATAAGATATAATAACTTCTATAGTAATATCTTCTATATTCTTATTAAAAAAACTAATAGTATTTAGTAAGTAAGAGATATAATATTTAAAAAAGATAAAAGAGAGCTTTTTTTAGTTAAATTTAATAACTTATAGCTAAGAGAAGAAGTTAAATTAGAGACCTATAAGTATAATAATAAATTACTAATAATAATATATAAAGCTAAGTTTTAGCTTTATATTATAAATATTAAGTCTTACTATTATTATTATTCTACTAAATAAGATTAATAATAAGAAGAACTAAGTAATTTATATTTAGAAGAAACTTAAGATTTAGAAAGTAATAATAAATAAAAATAAAAAAATAAGCTTCTTTAAGAATAAAAAGAAGTTAGTAGTAAAAAGGGTAGTTTACTAACTTTAAATCTAAAACTATACTTATTAATACTAAATATTAATACTATAAATATATAAATATAATTAATACTAAAAGAAGTTTCTTCTTTATAGTAATATTCTCTTATTACTTTTTTAAAGTAATATTCTCTTATTACTCTTTTAAAATAGAGATTTTTTATTACTCCTTAGAAATAATAAATACTAACTAATAATCTATAATAATAATAAAACTCTCTTAGTATTTCACTTTAAACTTCTTACTTAATATAAAGAAAACTAAAAAGAAAGCTAAGAAATAGTAATAGAGGTTTTATTTTTATAAGATTACTAAAAGTAATTATTTTTTCTTTTAATTAAATAATTTAGATACTTAGAACTTAGATATTATATAATATAAAGAAGTTTAATAAGGAATTTAATAAAATAAGAGCTATAGAGATTAATTTAATTAATAATAAAATAGATTAAAAACTAATTATTTTTATTTTCTTAATATCTAATTTATTATAAGCTTTTAACTTAAAAATTTACTTATTTATAACTTTTAAGAAATAAGAGGTAATAGAAAAAGAACTTCTAAAGTTAACTATTTTTAATACTATAAAGATTTAAGTTAATAGCTTATAAGAAATAGATTACTAATAGCTTAAAGAGCTTTTAGATAGCTTTAAATATCTCTTAAATAAATAGATATATAATAAGAAAGTTATTATAAATAAAAAGCTTAATAGAGTTAGAGTAAAATAAGTTATTTATAATAACTTTTAAGATAAAGATAATAAAATAATTTATACTACTATTATTAATCTTATTACTTTATAAATCTTTTTACTAATTATAATACTTAAAGATCTAAAACTTCACTAAGTTAATATAGTTATAACTTTCCTAAATACTTTTATAAGAGATTAAGATATTTTTATTACTTAACTCTATAAGTTTAATAATAGATCTAATTAGTTCTATAGATTAAAAAGAGCTCTCTATAAGTTAAGAGAATCTCCTCTTCTTTAGTATAAATAAATTATTACTATCTTTAAATAATTAAGGTTTAAATTACTACTAAAAAAACCTTATATTCTTATTAATAAGAATAATATTATAATATTATTTTATATTAATAATATACTTATTACTATACTTAATATTAAGTAAGTTAATAACTTTAAAAATAACTTATATAACTTCTTCTAAATTAAAGATTTAAGTAAAGTATAATAGTTTCTTAAATTTAAGATTATGTATTATTATAAAATAAAATAACTCTAGATCTTATAAACTAAATATATTAATAATATACTAATAAAGAAGGGTATTATTAGATATAACTAAATACTTTACCCCCTTAGTAATACTTAGCTATTAGAGATTATAGAATAATATAAAACGTTTATTAAGATATATAAATATTAAAGTAATCTAAGTAAGTTATAATAGATTATAAATAGTATATAACTAGATATTATAATATTTATAAGTAAAGCTACTAAAGATTAATAATATACTTCTAAAAAGTATAATAAACTACTAAGATTAATATAGAGATATCTCTATAGTTTATAATAACTAATACTCTACTTTAGTAGCTTAAGTTACTTTATTAATAACTTTAAATTATTAGCTTTCTATAATACTAGCTAGTCTAATTATAAAAGAATAAGTAAGTTAATAGCTAGTTATATAGTTATATATAAAGGAGCACTAATTACTTAGAAATTAGTACTATAATTATTTATAGCTATATTAACCTATAAAGCTAAGTAGATAAATCTAATACTTAGAGGGAAAGCTTTACTATATATTATAGATCTTTTCTAAAGGATAAATATCTTTATTTAATTACCCCTCTAAGTATATATAGATTCTATAAATACCCTTAATAATTATCTATTAAGTAAATAGTTACTTAAATTATATTATATTAAGATTAAGTATTATTAGATTATTAATAATATTAGTAATAGAGATTTTAAAATTAACTATATCTTAATTTATAAGATAGTTACTAATAACTTTATTAAACTACTAATAATAGAGAAGTATTATAACTTTATTAGAATATTAAGTTTATTAAAACTATTTATAACTAATAATAAGTCTTAATCTAAGGATAATATCTTAGGAATTAATCTTAATTAAATCCCTTCTATTTTTTTTTTTTATATATAATAACTTTATTCCTTTATATCTTACTAACTAATTAACTTTTATAGTTAAACTTTATATTATTTTAATTACTTTAATTTACTCTTTTTAATAGTTAAATTATTAACTATAAAAGTTTTCTATATAAGAAGTTATTTAATAATAAAGGCTTAGAAAGTAATTAAAGATTTTAACTTTACTAAGTTATAAATTTATTACTAAGTTAGATATCTTAGTTAGTATTTCCTTAAGTTATAACTATACTAAGTTTAATTAGTAAAAAGTTAATTAACTTTAAACTTAAATAAAATTAATATAAGTTTAAAGTTTAAAAAAGTAAAAAATTAATTAACTAAGTTTTAAAAGTATTATAAAAAGATTAATTTTTAAGGTATTATTAATTATAAATTATTATATTTAATACCTAACTAAAGTTAATTAATAGATTAAAAGAATAGTAATAAGGTTTTATAAAGCTAATTAATTACTTAAGAATTACTATTTTTAATAAAAAAAAGTTATTTAAAATATAAGATCTAAAATTAAACTAAAATAAATAGTTTTTAGATTTATTTAGGTTAAAAGTTAATTCTATAAAGAGGTTTTAAATAATAAACTTCTAAGTTACTAATTTAAAGATTTAACTTAAGTTAAAAATAAAAAGTAATACTAATAATATTAAGTAGCTATTTAATTATTTTTATAGAGATAACTTAAGTAGTAGTTATAATATTAATTAGCTATATAAAAATTAGAAAAAGTTAAGAAGTATTTTAGAGTTAAAATAAGATAATAATAATAATATAGAAAAATAAGAATAATATATAGAAGTAAGAATAATATAAAACTACTATATAATTAATTAGATTACTATTTTAAAATAGAAATAGCTTTATTTAAAATACTAGAAATATTAGCTAAAAGGGGGGTATAAGATAGTAATTAACTAAACTTAAACCTAAAACTTAAATCCTAGCCTAAATCCTACTTTTATATAAGGGATTAGCTACACTACTTTATAGCTAGCTACGCCCAGCGCTTATAGCTAGATTAATTAAGCCACTTCACGCAACCCCCATCCTAACATAGGGCAACATCTAAGCGGAGGCTGATTTCAGCCCCCAGGGCAGAGGAAGGGAACAGAAGTTCCAACGCATCAACGTAGACCCACCATTATCTCATCCTTGCCTTGCTAAGCGGGCGACTAATCAGGCTCACGTCAATCACTGTGAACAATTGCACTGTTTCAATAAATTATAAAAAAAGACCAATGATTTCTCACCCTAGGACATGTAAACCACAACTTTTCTTCGGCACTGAAGACTCAGCATTGAGGACGCTTGAAATTACCGGAACTCATATTACTTTCGCCCGCTGTTTTGTTGGAAAAACAAACATGGGCGTGACTTACTTAAATTACCACGCTGGGCTTTTTCGACCTTGGGACGGGACGGCCCTTGCCGTTGCCATTGTTGATGCTCCCATATTGGCCATCGTAGGGTGGTGGGTGACTGCCTACATCACCTCCCCCCTCAGACAATATCCTGGGCCAGGTTTAGCCGGTACGTATATCATCAATTATCAGTTATCGCGAATGTTTCTTAACACGCACAGCCTGGACAAATTTGTGGCGACTATCTGTTGTTCGAACAGGAAGTTATCATGTCAAGATCAAAGAGCTTCACGAGAACTATGGAGCCGTTGTTCGCATCGGCCCAAATACTCTGGACCTTGACTTTCCAGAGCTCATCAAGACCCTCTATGGCACGGATGGGAAATGGAAGAAGGTACGCGTTGTTCCCCTACCGCTTCCGGCAAACATTCTGGCTCACACCATGAGCAAGACCGAGTTTTACCACAACAACAGCGCTATCATCGACGGCAGAGTTACCTACCATTTGTTCAGTACCACAGACCAAGCTGAGCATGCACGGATGAAGCGTCCAATTGTCAAGTACTACTCCCAGAGTAGCGTCATGGGAATCGAGCCACTATTTGATACCTTGATCGGTGACTTTTGTGACCACTTGGAAAAGCGATTCATGACCACCTCCAAGCCGACAGCGTGTGATCTTGGCGAGTGGATCGGGTTTTGTAAGTTGACTCGATTGGCGTGGCAGTTCTCGAGCTAAGACAAAGTAGACTCTTGGGATGCGAATGGCGCTGCTTCTTTTAGCCAGCGATTTGGCTACATGGACGAGGGATGCGATTATGACGGCACAATTTCCATTGCCGACAAAGCTCTTGACTAGTGCGTTGAATGTGTTTTGGCAACAATCAAGACACTGACTTGTGAATAGCTTCGCTACTGTGGGGCAAATGCCGTTTCTGGACTTCCTTCTCGACAAGAATCCTGTTATGAGAATCGGCCCTCCGAACCTAGCAAACATTACACGCATTTCTCTCGAACACCTAGTATCTCGCCTCCAAGGCAAAGATCCTAATTACGACCCCAACGTTCCCGACTTCCTGCAGCACTTCATTGAATCTAAGCAGGCCCATCCTGAACTTGTAAACGATGGCATCATCATGGGGTACCTCCTCGTCAACTTGCTCGCCGGCGCTGACACAACTGCGATCACCATTCGAGCAATTTTTTGGCACGCGCTTCATCAACCCCTCGTTTACCGACGCTTGGAACAGGATATTCTCTCAGGAGAGCTGTCTGATGTTGCTTCGTACAGCTCAGCACGCGCGCTGCCATGACAGTAAACCGCTTACAGCTTTATACATGAGCCAAAGCTAATGAACATTTTACAGACCTCGAAGCCGTCATTCGCGAGGCCATGCGAATGCACCCTGGGGTCTGCATGTTACTTGAGCGGTATGTGCCTGACGGCGGCCTGGACCTTCCGGATGGCACCCACGTTCCGGCAAACGTAGCTGTTGGTATAAATCCCTATGTTATTGGTAGGAACAAAATTATCTGGGGCGACGATGCGGATACCTACCGGCCAGAGCGCTGGTTGCAGAATGAAGATGAGAGCGACGCAGCCTATAAGACAAGACTACGTTTATACAACTCGTCGGACTTGACCTTTGGTGGTGGGTCGCGAGTCTGTATTGGGAGAAATCTCGCTCATCTAGAAGTTTACAAGATTGTGGCAACATTGATCCGCAGGTATGAAATCTCACTCGTCGATCTCAACCGCCCTTGGAAAGTCACGGGTAGTTGGTTCCCGAGGCAGAGGGGCTTGATTTGTCATTTGAAGAAGCGGGACCAAGGATCGTGTTGAGTCTTTCGGATGAGCTGCCTGGGTTCTTGGGTTGTAATTTGTTGTTGCTAGATACCTTAGATGTGAAGGATATGAAAATTAATTCCGATCGCGGTGTAAACAGCCAAAATCAAACAAATGTCAACTCTGGGCGTTCGAGTGAGTTTCGTAGGGAACGTGATCGCGCGCCAATGCACCAATACGGCCACTCACAGCGATGACATGTCTACTTGGAGGATTATATGATCTATTGGCAATCAACGACCAAAGGTTTACGAGACTTGACCCTTCACAATCAGACCATGGCTTGTCACGGGCCTTATCCCGCTGAGAGTTTTGCCGTGTCTGGCAACCCAGAAACCACAACATCCAGTCCAAGGGAACCGTCCGAAGCAGCGTTTGCATAGGACTGTCATCTAACCCGACCGAGTCTTGAGGCTGTGCCTCCCTCCGGCGGTAAATGGACCTTGGTTATGCACTAGAGTCTAGGGTACTTTCAGTGGAGCGTAATTCTCCAGCTTCTGTTTGGAGACGTTAACATTATAGCTAACCATAATACACATCACTAGATAGCCAACTGTAATGTCTGATTTACGAGGCCTTGCTTATATTGAGGGTCGTGGGGTCGCATCCCTTCAAAGCCCGGTCTTCACTGTGCAGCATGTATCAATAACAACACCGAAGTACAATCCAAGAGGTAAACCGCTAAGGGAATATAAAACAACATAAGAAGGCAACTCCTGCAGCAGTCGCAGCAAAAGTAAAGGTGGATGTAATGGCGTGGTTAAAGATTTGCAACACAGCAGCGAGAAGCTCTGGGGAAAGAGAACCCAGTTGGGCAGCCTGGCCGGCCTTTGCCAGAGCATCCGCATGGCTAGGATCTAACCCCGGGAGGCCCGCAAGCCCCTTAGCGAGTGTTGTTGCAAATATGGTCTGCGCGATAGAGATGCCTAGGGCCGCACCCAGGGAGTTAGAGAAGGCAATGAGCGCGTTCGCGATGGCACGGTCATCCTGTCGTTTGCCGATTTTCTCTGACCGCTGAACGGCGACATAGGGAACCTGCCAGACGACACCCAGCGCGGCACCTGACAGCAACTGAAAGCCCACCACCATGCCCAATCCTGAGCTGACGGTCAGCATGTGCATCAAGCCCGCTCCGATGACAAAGAGGCCGGCGCCGACCCAGGCGTACGGCCTATGGTCTGACAAGCCGACACCGCCGTCGCTGCTCCGGGAAGACATGGCGCCGCCGGCGCCCACCCCGGCCAAGGCCATAGCCCCAACATAGGCGAGGGTGCGTAGGCCCGAGGCCGTGGCGCTCATGCCCTGGACGACTTGGAAGTAGAATGGCAGGAAGAAGACGTGGGTGAACATGGCCGCCGAAAGCCAAGTTATTAGCAGCATGCCGCCCACGACCGCGCGATCGCGGAGAAGACGGGGAGGGATCATGGCGTCATCGCCGTTGAACCGCAATGAGACGACGAAGGCGCCCGTGAGAACGGCCGAACAGACCAGGCAGCCCCAGATCCGCCCGTCCGACCAGTTGTACTTTGACCCGCCCCATTGGAGGGCCAGAAGCAGGCTGACCATGGCCGGGACAAGGAGAGCGGTGCCCAACGGATCCATCTTCTGCATTCGCTTCATAACGGGGAGGACTGCGGCTGAGGCTGCCGTCAAGCCACGGTTGTTTAATGAGCGATGAGGGGCACTTGTTGGTGGGCGTTTGCCTTCAACTCCTTCATGTGCATCACCAACTGTTTGCATTTCTGTGTCTGCCAGAGCCGGAAGCGACGACTGTCGCTGAGAAGGTCGAAACACGGCCAAAATGAATATGGCGGCGACGCCGCCGAGCGGCACGTTTATCCAGAAGCACCATCGCCAAGTCAATTTCGGTGCGTCGGTGAAGGCACCCCCCAAGGGCGGACCGACCAGAGACGCCAGACCGACCATACCAGACACGATACCAAAAAGTGCCGGGGACCTCTGCGGGCTTACCGTCATCGCAACCATGTTGATGGCGCCTGAGTAAAGCGCCGCCGCACCCACGCCCGAGACAACACGTCCGGCGATGAGGGTCCCCGAGTTGGGAGCAACGGCACAGAGGACAGACCCTGCTTCGAAGACGACCAGGCTACCGAGATAGATCCATTTGACATTGAATTGGGCGTATGCTTTGCCGTACGGTAGTTGAAGCGCCGTCGAAGCGACTAGAGATGCGCTACGATAAAGTCCGGCATCTTGAAGCGAGTCGAACTCTGTCGTTATGCGCGGTATGGCCGTTCCTATGTGTATGCATCTCGTCGTCAGATCGGATCTTTGTTGGACATCTCATGAGGGTTTGAAAGACAAGTTGATTTACATATCACTTGCTTTTTACACAATGGTTCTAGTGAGATATACCGAGGATCGTGTTGTCCACCGCTGCCGCAAAGGATACCAGGCAAAGACCTAAAGTTAAGGCGGTAATCGTCACCGTCTTTGTCGCCCACTTGCCTCCGTTTCTTGGGGTTTTTATCTCTGAGATAGTCATGTCTTTGAGACTGGTGGCGTCATTGTTGTCGACGTCTGACCTGCCTATTGGTAAGATAGGGGACTCGTCGATGCAAGTCGTCTGTGTGCAGCATTGAACTCTTTTCTCTGTCGATGTTGTAGTAGACATTGTTCACGTTGATTCGAAGTAGCCAAATTGTATCTGAAAGTATGCCACGCGGAGGGTGAATCTGGTCTACGATACAAAGTAATGTCTTTTGATTTTGTTGTTCCCTTAGATGTACACAGCCTGGTGTCAATCACCACGAGGACGTTGCCGTCATACTGGAACTATGACCCCTCTAGACAAATCACCCGAACGGCAAACCACCCGAATGGCAGCTACACACCCAATTTACATGGCGTCAGCAGTAACCCATGGCGTAATCCCACGTGCAGATTTTACAATAGCCAATTGGTACCAGAGCTATCCTTGCCTATCCACATCTTTGTGTCGTCTGCGTGCTAATATTTCGGCCTTTGGATTACCAATCCTCTGGCTTCTGATGGTAAAACATCTCATGCCTTCCTCCTCCCCAGGACCCTCCGCCAGTTTAAGATCGAACATAGTAACCAGCTCCGCAAGGATCATCTTGATGAGCCATCCTGCATAGTGACGTCCGCAACATGCCTGCACGCCGTAGCCAAAGTTCAACTGTCCCGGGCTATTGTGAAAAAAAGCGCTGTTAGCCACTTGTTTCCACCAAGACCTGGAAAAGGATGCGGACAGGCAAGGAAATGTTACAACCCTGAGTATGAGTAGCTCAGCGTTACCTGCTGAGATTCGGTTTCAACATTCATTTTCATGTTGTAAAATCTTAGACCATCGAACTTCTCAGGATCCGACCACCTCTTAGGGTCGAGATTCACGGCGTCCGTCATATATGAGATTTGAGACCCGGCTGGGAAGTGAAGCCCGGACGAAGTAGTCATCGGTTTCAGAACCTTTCTGGTCAAAGTTACTGAGGGCGGAAGGGTAGTCAGAGAAGGACTCTCTCTCCCTCTTGGAAGGACGTGTAAATCTTACCGAGAGAAGCGGCGTGGAGCCTCTGGGATTCCTTCATAAAACTGTCCATCTTCGGAACCTGGGAGAGCCAACTTTTTTCATCTGTTCGATCGACTTCCTTTAGTTCGTTTCTTAGAATCTCCTGGTATTCGGGGTAGAGTGCAATGTCGTAAAGGACCTGCCACAACTGGACCACCACAGCACCACATTAGTAACAGAGCTTGACATCATGCAAGCGAGACAGGAAGAACAAACAGTTTCTGAAGTTGGATGTATGGCGGTAAAAATAAGCTGGTACTGTAGTGTCATGTGAAACACGATATCGTCTTGTTTGCCTGGGTCTGTTACGGCCAAAAAGTCGTCGATCATGGTCCGCTCCCGGATCTTGCCCGCTTCACTGCGGTCGTTCCCTAATCTAGCCACGTCAAACTCGGTCCTCAGCCGGTCTGCAAGCCGTCTCTCCTCGTTACGTAAGTCTTTGTAGCCCTTGACAAAGCGGTATACCAGCGGCTGCGCCCACTTCGGCCATTGCTGGATACCCCGAGCCGCCGCCCATACGTAGGCCAAGTAGGATACTTGACCATCGACCCAGGATTGGTCTCGAGAAAGAGACTTGCCCACAAATGCACGAGCCATGATTTGTGCTGTGAGCTGCCCGGCGGCGTAGCTGACATTAACGGACGTCCATTCCTTTTCATTGGGATTACTGTACGCTCGATCGCGACCATCAAACAATCGAGAGCAGGCCGCTGTTGTCTCATCTATCATGGGCACAATAAAGCGGGAACCGGTTGATAGAAGTCCCAGCTTGGTGCCTCGGAGAAACGTATCGTTATTCACACCAAAGCCTGTGGCCCATGACGAGAAGTACTGCAAAACCATGTGGCCAAAGGAAACCTCGGTTCTGGGGTGCATACAAAGTTCCTGAATATGACGGGCGGGCAAGAAGACAACGAAGCCATCTGCCGTCATGACTTTGAACGGCTCGTCGGGGTACTTCTGCGTGTTATCGACGACACCACACGAAAACACCGCAATGATACAATGACACACCTGTAAAAGACCTTTTCTAAGAGTCGTTCCAAGATTCGGTCCGTCTCTTGGGACCTCGGGGCAGTCAAACTTCCAATCCCACTTGGCTGTACCCGCACTCATTCGCGTCACCACCAGCCAAACTACAATAGTAACGCAGGCCATGTACGGCCAAATAGGTAACACATGAAGTAGGTGTATTGGTGATTGAGCTGACAAAGTGGCCCAGGCGGAATGCACAGCACCTCTTTGGGGGACGGGACACGAAACGTTTTCCATAGTGCACTGAAGTTCTTTGACTTGTGAAACAAACACACCAGTCAGTGTTATGCGTGAGAGGAAGTATTAAAGAGTAATTCCTATAAGCTGTCTCTAATGGTAAAGGACAGAAGACAGAAAATTATTTCATCAAACAAAACAAAGAACGATAACTTTCACTGATATGCTGCCCCGCTGCTAGGAATCGTCATACCCTGATCGGGGAATTTAGCGTGCTATAAAGGAAAACCTCCGATTTGGATTCCAGCGAGCAATTCCCGAAAAGAATGCATTTTCACTAAGATAGGGATAATGAAATCCTACGTAGATAACTGAGAAAATCATTTTTACTTGTGCGCATGATTCCAGCCTCAATAGTTAGCTCAAGGCATTGACAAGAAGTCCGCCATCGATAACGAGCTGAGCACCGTTCATATATGCACCAGCTGCGCTTGAGAGCATCAAAACCGGCCCCACCATCTCCTCGGGGCGGCCCGGGCGTCCAGCAGTTGATCGCAGTATTGTCTTCTCTGCGATGGGATGTAGACCCCACCTGGCTTGGTCTGTGTCCGCGGCGAGGACTGGCGACTTATTCTCCTGAGATGCCAAGGTCGTCATCTCTGAAGGAAATATCCCGGGGCAAATTGTGTTCACGCGAATCTTCATTCTATGAGGATATGAGTTAGTACTGCGTCAAGAATTTTGGTCAAGATTGATCTTGGGGTTCAAAAACTCGTAGGGGTGCCTGAAGGCGAAACCACACTTACGGACGAAGGCCAGATGACAGCAACATGGCAAGTTTGGTTTCTGCGCCAAATATTTTGTTTCAGCAAGTTAGACCAGTTCCAATTGGCGAAGGGTACTAAAAAGAAGGGGCTCTCAGGAGTCGGGGGAAACGTACCGGCAGCCTTTGAGAGATCGTACGCCACTGATGTCACAGACGTTTGGTTTGTCAAAGCGGCCAAAGACGATATGATCAAGACGTTTGGAGTAGCGGATTTTCGTAGCAACGGAACCAAACATGTCGACATGAAGTAGACTCCGCGAACATTAACTGAAACCATCGTCACATCAACCCTACACGTACCCTAAGTTGTTAATGGGGCCTTACTGTGATTTGCCTCATCGAAATCTTCACTATATTTGTACAGTCAGCGCACTACATTCTTGATCCTCCAAAATAAATTCACTTACTCATCGATGCCATTGAGCAGCATGCGTTCTACCTCGTTGGCTATCCAGCCATGGAATCAGCTGCAGCTCGCATAGGAATCTTCACCTTGTCCACTACCCTGGACTGAAGGTGAAGCGTCGATGTCGTCAGGGTTCCGTAGGCTTACCATTATCTGGATCTTTGGCATAAACCTTCCAGAGGGTCATCAATCCAGCGCAGTTGACGAGGGTGTCAACCTAGAACGAGAGAAGCAGGTTAGCAGCGACGGACACAGAACCAAGCTGACGCGGGTGTGAACGAAACAAGTTTCAACTTACGTGAGATTCGTGCGCCCTCACCTGGTCCGCTACGTTTTCGCAACCGGCCTTAGTCCCAAGGTCTCCCTGCAGTACGTGTATGTCGCCACCTATTTCACTGGCAGCAGCTTGCAGAACCTCCAAGCGTCGGCCAACAATATAAACGCGGGACCCATTGAGTGCAAATCCCCGCGCGATACACTTCCCAATACCAGAACCACCGCCCGTAACGATGACGACCTTGTCACGCACTGAGAACAGGTCTTCAATCCTAAGCGATACATGTTGGGAGCATGAAAGACTTTTTTGCAATACATTGATAGCCTCAGGCATGATCGCTTAGGCACTTATTAATGCGGGCAGAAATAACTGCTGTGAGTGAGAAGAACTCATTTCGACGTATGTAGATCTGAAAGCGCTGGGCATATTTAACTATACGCAAACGGTGACAGTGACAGAAAGATTTAAAAAGAGTGTGTCAGGCGTGCCGGACAGTTTTCACTTAAAGACCCGACGGGTGCCCAGTGACATTTAACGTAATTGAAGCTGTGTCATGGGCCTTCCTTGCAATCCTGCCTGCATGAGGATTAGCTTGACGTAGGTTTTAACGGCAGTTCTAGGTGGACTTAATAGTAGCTTAAGCTACCTTATTACGTGTTAGAGGCAGCAGCATGCGATTTCAACTAGGAATTATAATAAGAGATTATTAGTGATACCTTTGCTTGCCTCCTAAATATACTTTTTAATTATATGTAAATACACCTATAGCTATTACCTTTTTAAACTAAGTTTATTCTTCCTCTTCTTACTATCTTATATAGTTTAGTTTAGATTATCTTTAACTTATTTATCTATTATAACAAGGCAAGGGAGAAAACTTATTAATTGTGCTAAGCACTCTACTCTAGGCGGAAAACCTCTGAAAATACCTAGATACTTATATATTAATTTTTTAGATAACTATAAGAGATATAAAAGCGAATATATAAATATAAGCTTAACTAAATTATACTTTATCTATATTTTTCACTTTTTTTATACTTTAAGTTATATAATTTCTTAGGAGAAAATAAGCTATTAAGAAGAAGTTTAGTAGTAATATTTTTATAGTATTCTGCTTTATTTTTATTTTAAATAATTAAAGAGGTATAGTAAGGGCTAAAAAAGGAGATAAAAATAGGGCTAACTAAAGCTAAAAAAGCTTAAAAATACTTATACTTATTTAATTTTTAAAAAGTAAAGATTAATAAACTTTTTCTATAAACTAAGCTAAAGAATCTTATTATACTAATAATAATAAATAATATAATTATTTATTAAAACTACTACCTAAAAAAGAGTAGGTCTGTGAAGACTAAGGGTAAGATTTATTAAAATATTACTAAGTATTATTTATTAAACTTTCTGCGCCTAAAATGTCTATATTATAAATATACTTAAAGATAATAGTAAGGTATTCTTTTTAGCTAAGTTTCTAGCCTATTATACTAGTAATAATAAATAATATAATTATTTATTAAAACTGCTACTTAAAAAAGAGTAAGTCTATAAAGACTAAGGGTAAGATTTATTAAAATATTACTAAGTATTATTTATTAAACTTTCTACGCTTAAAATATCTATATTATAGATATACTTAAAGATAATAGTAAGGTATTCTTTTTAGCTAAGTTTCTAGCCTATATAACATTAAGTTAAATTAATAAATATTTAATCTAAGTTTAAATAATTTTAAACTACTAATAGTAACCTACTTAGTTTAAATTAATTAATAATAATATTACTAATTACTAATTTATATAAGTATTCTAAGGAGGTATTATAATCTAAATAATATTAATACTAGCTTATTTTAACTTAATTAAATTATTAAATTTATAAATTCTATTCTAATAGTAACCTATAGTTACCTAATAGTTAGTATACTTTATTAAAAAGGTTAAATAAGATATTTTTAACGTTCTTCTATTAGAAAATATAAATAACTTTTAATTTTACTTATAATTATACTTTAAGACTAAATAAAGCTATAGATTTATTTATAATTCTTATTAACTTCTTATTTATAGTATATAAAGAATATTAATATATAGTTATTATAGATAAAATTACTTTATATTTAAGAATATAATATCTACTCTTAAAACTAATAGAGAGGAATAATATATATACCTATATAATAGGAATCTATAGAATTATTTAAACTTAGAACTAACTTAGTAATATCTAATATCTAGCCTTTATAATAAAGCTAATTACTTATATTATATTACTAATTATAAATAGAATCTATTATAATATATATAGTTTTATATATTAGTAGATTTAAATAATCTAAGCTTATTACTATAAAGAATATAGATAAGTTAATACTTAAAAGAGAGGTAGTAATATAAAAAGCTAAATAAGTAAAGTTAAAAGTATACTATAGATAGTTAGTATATAATATTAGAGATTCTATATATCTTAGCGTAATAAGTAATAGTTTAAAGTAGCTTAGGAATAAATAGCTAATAACTCTCTATAAAGTACTCTAAATAGAAGCTTAGCTTAATAAGTAGTTACCTATATTTAAGATCTCTAGAAAGTTTAAGTAGAATATATAAAGATAAGCTATAATAAGCTAATTTATATTACTAATAAAAGATTTAAGCTTAGCTTATAGCTAGTTTATATAGGATAAGTAGTATACTTAAAAAAGCTTAATACTAATATACTCTTTAATATAATAGCTCTTATTAATAAAGATAAGGTTATATTTTAAGCAATATAAGTAATAGTAGTACCCTCCTAACGCTTAATACAGACCAAGTTAAGGCTAAGATTTAGGCTAGAAAGCAGCTTCTTTAGAGCTATAAATAAGTGATACAAATAGAGGGGTATTAGGGCTAGTAAAGGGAAAGTATATTAGATAACAGTATATATCAGATTCTATATCTAAATAGACTAATTATAAGTATCTATAAGCTTACTAGTAAGGAGGGGTTCTAAGACTTAACTATAGAGTTTAAATAATATATATAGCTAGAAGAAAGCCTCTAAGGGCTTCTTAGACCTAACTATTTAAATCTTTATAACTTATTATACTTAGCTAAAAGCTTTAGAAGCTTTAAAGGGCTTTTAAGACTTCTTAACTATAGAGTAGTTTTCTAGATAACTTAGCCTATTTAGTAAGAAGCCCCCTAAGGCTTCTTAGAAGTTAGACTTAACTATAGATCTTAGATACCTTACTATAGTTAGCTATAAGTTTTTAGGGCTTCTAGGATCTAATAGTAGAATTTAGATAACTTAACCTAATTAGCTAGAAGCTTTTAGGGGCTTCTAGAAGCTTCTAGAACTTAACTATTAAAGCTAGATAACCTAACTAACTTAGCTAGAAGCCTCTAAAAGCTTTT